TTATTAGCCCTTATATTTATAAATTAGATCTATCTAAAAATATAAAAATATATCTAATATTTTATATTAAATTATTATACTTAATTATTAAAAATTTATTATCTAGATAAGAGAAAATTAAATCCCTATATATTAAAATTAATAGTATTAAGAAATAAGAGATTAAGAAAGTAATTAACTCTTATTAGGATTATTATAATTAAAGTAGCTACTTATATTTAAAATATATTATTAAGTAGGTTAGATATTTTATTATTATTAAAGTTCTTACTAGCTACCTAAAGAATATTATTAAGTATATTATTATCTATTATTACTATTACTTTAGAAAGCCTAAATCTTAGGAATACTTTACTAGAGCTTAGCTTAAGAAAGAGAATACTATTATAGTATAGTTATATACCTATCTAGTTAGATTCTGCCCTAATTATCCACCTTTACTCCTATATTTAAGCTATATTACTCCTAATCCTATTATAGCTCTTCAAGCTACATTCTTATCCTAACCTGACCCCTACCTATTATACCTGTACACAGATAGCCTGAATATACACCCTGCTGTTAGCTACACCTACTGCCCGCCTGCTCCCCGTGACAGTTAGTATATATAGATCTTTTAATTCTTAATTATTATATTAAGATAGGTAGTTACTATATTAAATTATACCTATTTTAAATTAAAATAAATAATTATACTTAAAAATAGCTTTACTAAAGTATTTACTATTATTAGAGAGTAGACTTAATTAAAATTTATACTTAATTTTTAAAAATTTCTATATATAATCTATCTTATATAAAATTATAATATATTATTATTTATATTTAATTTTAAATTATATATTTATTTTTCTAGTAAGATTTTTATATCTTTTAATAATAATATAAATTTATAAGTCTAAATAACTTTAAATTTATTAATTTAACTTTATATTATTTATATCTAGTAATCTTTTTATAATAACTTTATTACTTAGGTATAGGTTTATAGGATTCTAACTTTATAAGTCTTTATAAGCTTGATCTCTAGTATAAAACTACTAGAATCTAGTAATATTATAATAATTATATCAAGTAATTCTTCTAGCTTTAGATAGAATCCTAGTAAATAAGGTATTTCTAAAAGTATTTTTAAAGATAATATAGACTAGGATTAAGATTATTATTCTTATTTTACCTCTTCTTCCTATAGTTACTTTACCTGCTTATTTTTAAAGTAAATACTTTAATATTAACCCTTTATAGATCTTAAAGATTATTATAGAGTAGTAATACTACTACTAGTATCCTTACTAGTAAGATTCTATACCTTTACTTAATTAATTATTTTTATATTCTTAATATTAAATTTAATCTACTTTCTAGTCTTTAAATACTTCTTTTTTAGTATATTTATAGATATTAAAGTATAATTATTTTTAGAAGATTCTAAAACTAGTAAGATTTTCCTATATTAGATAAATAATTCTAGAAGCCTTTATATTAGTTATAATATTAATATTCTTTTAAAAATAGGTTAACTAGTATATAAATTATTTATAGTAAAATAGTTAATTATTTCTTTATATCTACCCTACCTAGATTATTCCTTTATATTAGGTCTTACTACTTCCTCTATATTTTTACTAATTATTTAATTATTTTACTTAGAGATTATTTTAGAAATAGCCCTAGAAGTAAGTATCTACTCTAGTATAATAAGTTTAGTAGTTTTAGAGATAGCCCTAGGGGTAGCCCTAGAGATAGATAGCTACTTAGGTATGATAAGTTTAATACCTGCCTTTAAATCAGGTAGGATAGTTTTAGAGACAGCCCTAGAGATAGATATATATAGAAATATTAAGTTAGTACCTGCCTCTAATTCTAGTAGGTTTAGTTTAGGTAAAGCTAGATTAGATATTAATATTTAAATTCTTTTTATAATAACTTTATTATTAGTTACTAATAATAAGATTTAGGGAATAATATTACTTTAAAATACTTTATTATAAATTATTTTTTTCTTTTTAGTATTAATAAGTATAGTTATTTTAAATAAATTATTATTATTTAGTTTTAATCTATTAGAAAGTTATAATTATATTCTATTTATTTTATTAATATTATTTTTATTAAATATTATATCTTTTAACTAAATTATCTTTTCTATATCTAGATACTATACCTTATAGATATAATCTTTATTATATTTAACTAGTTAATTAATTTTTACTTTAAGTAATATTTTTATACTTTTAATCCTATTTTTATATAAAATATTTATAAATACCTTATATTCTTATATATAAATATATTATAGATTAATATTTTTAATTAGAATATTTAATTCTTTATAAAAAAATTATATAAGTAACTTTCCTTTATTATTATCTTTCTTAACTAATCTATTTAAAATATAGATTACTATATTTATATTATATAGCTATATAATTAGTTCTATTTTTATTTATATATATATTATATAGATAGTTTAGATTATATAATTACTAAACTATTTAATAGTATTATTTTTCTTAAGGATTTATAATAATATTAGTTTATATATAGTACTAAAATTCTTACTTTATCTAGTATACTTATTAAATTTAGGAGTAGAATTAAATCTAACCCTTTTAATATAGATACTAGTTATATTTAGCTAATTATTATATATTTCCTTTAATACTTTTAAAAATTTACTTTTTACCTTTAAATATTATATAAAAAGATATCTAGAATAATTATCTAGAACTAGTAAAATATATTTAAGACTATTTTTTCTAATTAGTTTAATTTCTTAGAAATTTATATATATAAATTATAATAATTTTATTATATGTAGTTATAGTTTTTAGGATATTTTTTTCTTTAATTTTAATAATTAATATATTTTATAATATAGTTTAGTATTCTAATTAATAAATAAGTTATTAATAACTAAGTTATTATTATAAAGTATTACCTTATTATATTTTAATTATTTAATAGATAAATAACCTAATTATTAATATAATAAGTCTATTAGTATAATAGGTATGATTACTACTTTATTTAGAACTAAAAATAAGATATTATTATTTAAGATAGTATATTTAATTATCTTATCTATTACTATTTTATAAATATATTAATTTTTTAAGTTAAAATAAATTCCTAATTTTACCTTTATTCTTTTTACTAGTATCAGGTTATATAATATATTTAGATTCTAAAGATATTTTATTTAGTATAATATTAAAATATTATTATCTAATTTAAATTAAATTATTATTTTTCTATAACTTTAGGGATATACTATCTTATTATTAGAGATAATAAAATTATAATTCTTAAAGCTATTTAAATCTTTAATTAGATTATTAAAGAGATTATAATTATTATATACTATATAACCTACTCTAGAATTATATAGTTACTTATTCCTAAAAATAATTAATATTAAATTTATTAGTATATTAACTCTAGATAGTATAAAATTATTAGTATCTAGAATAGTATTAGCCTATATAGCTAGACTAATTTAGTTTTAGGTTAAATTATTCTTATTCTTTAATTTAAGTAGCCTAAAATACTAAAATATAGAAATTAGTTTCTACTCTTTCTTTTATTTATTAATTACTAAATATAGGTAATCCTTAGTATTATATTTTTTTTTCTTATAAAATAGGTATAGTATTTCTAGTTTTTTAAATTATTTTAATTAGTAATTAATATAATCTATAACTATTATATTTTATAGTAATATATATTTTTATTATTATTATTATTTTCTTCTATTATTTATTATTAGTTAAGAATTTAATATATTTATAGTAAGTATTATAGTATTAAATATAATATTAGATAATAAATTCTTCTAAACTTTATTTTTTACTATATTATATATAGTATAAAAATACTTTTATATAGTTATTTTAATAGAATTATTATTTAGATTATTTAAGATTAAATTTATAAAATTTATATTATTTCTTTTAAATTCCTAAAATATTATAATAACTACTTAATAAGATATAATAATTATTTTTAATTTATTAAAAATATTTATTTTCTAGATAAAATCTAATATAAATTTATTAATAATTATATAATTTTTATACTTAATTTTAATAATTTCTCTCTAGATCTAGTATATATATTTTTAATTATTATTAATAATTATTCTTTATAATTTTTATATAAAATTATCTATAAAGATATATAAAGTAATATTTATTAGTAATTTTTTTACTAGTTTCTTACTTATTAAATATAGTATCTAACTAGCTATTATTTATAAAAGAAATTTTTATAATTTATATTTAAAATTATTAAATTATAGTTTAAAAATATTACTTTTAAAAAGCTTATTTATCTTATAAAGCTTTAATTCTATTTATATAAATAAAGTCTAAATTTTAAATTTTAAATTATTTTTTAATATTATTATCAGGCTTAAGTTAAATATACTATTCTTTAGCTTTATTACTTAATTTTAGCTATTAGTAAATAAGGTAGTAGCTATTAAAGGTAGATATAGTAAATTAGGGATATTAGAATATTTACTAGAAGTAAGTTTAGTTACTATTTTAGTTAAATTATAGAAATTTTCTATATACTATTATCTAGGTAGTATAATATAATAGTAATAGGTAATATTTTTACTAGGATCTCTATCTAATTAGGGAGCAGATCTCTAGTACAGGAGTATAATAAGAATTTTAGAGATTTATAAAGTATAAAATAGAATCTTAAGAAGGGCTTATAACCTAATAAAGATTGTCAAACTATAATAGTAGAGAGTTGACTAAAATAAATTTAATTAGGTCTAACTAGGAAAATAGAGAAGGAGAGATGCTTGGAAGAAGTATAAAGATCTAGAAGGAAATAATAGCTTAAATATACTGGGTAGTCACATGTCACTATCTGCTTTATGGTGGTGCTGCTTTATGGTAGTGCTGGTTGCATTCACTAAGTGCAGCACTCCAACATATACTACACAAAACTTGATGGGTTTGCTTGAAGAATAGTCCACTATTAGTGGTTACACAAATTCATTTGTACTTTACAATCTTGACGAGTTCTTGAATTGTGATATCGTAAATCAATAAGGTCCTTTAGTCAATCTTTGCAGGAATACAAAGGAGGAAGATATTTACTAGCTTATGTTCCAGCTTGGTGTACTAGCTTTCCAGAATAGCATTGACATGACGGCTCTACGAGTCATTGTGTCATTCTTCCTCATCAAAGACATAAAGAGCTTAATATACCCTGAGTATTCGTTCTTCGCCCATTTTAGGGCAGATGAAAAACCTACAATGCACACTTTACTTCCAATTATTAAAGGGTCATATCTGCCACATAACCCTTCTAGTATTTCAAAGAAAAAGAGGCGGTTATTTGTTGACGAAAATTTGAGATCGGAATACAATGCAGATTGTGAGAAAGATGGTTTAGAGCTTGTTAGGATATTAATCAGTCAGTGGCCATGTGCAGAACCGTCTGTCGAAGGGTTTGAGACAACATGCCTGGATACCGCGCAGGCTTTGAAAGCCCTTCTTCCCGAATGGCAGCGTATGTATCAGAATATGCAATTATGCGATCATGTTAGAAAGGTCCAAAATATCTTGAACTACTACTTCAAGGGAAAAAATGATGTGCTAGAGTCACCTATGCTTGCTGATTGCCGCCCAGTGGACCTTTTGGGACCACGAGTGAGAAGTTATTATTCCCACCCACGACTCGGAGAAGAGCTGGTGGGAAAGAAAGCACTCAATTTAGCCGACATTATAGAATTAACAGCAGATAATGAAAACCATGAGAACCAGCCAAGGGAGGAGAAAAATTTAGGGAGGGATCCCATTACACCTGATACATAAAATTTCTACAGTCCTGAAATTATCCGGCTTGAAGGTATTGTTAGTAAACTTGCCAAGTCTGAATGCTCAGTAAGGTCTCGGTACGCTCAAGACCTAGAGCACAGCATCGCTTGCTTGAAATCAATCCAGAAGCCGCCGGAGGTGAGGAGCAAGAACAGCTTCAGCTTTCATGAAATGATTAAGCTAGATAAAATTATGGCAGCTCGCAATGTTGTCAACGCGTACTACTCAACCATTACTAAATCTTTCTCAGCTGGTGACCCCAGATATTTTTGGCTTCAAAGGGGCAACCTATAGCCCTGCCTAACACCTATAACAATATTCCAGCAGCTCCGCTCAACATCGCATCATCCCCTAGGGCCTGATATGAAAGAATTGCTCACCTCATATGGCATGGCAATTGTGAAACTGCAGAAATTCCTTCGGCTGAAAGAAGCCTTCTTAAAACAGGACCGCGGTCGACTAAACCAGGAGCAAAATAACCCCGGACATGTTAATTGGGATCCAATTAACTTATCTGACTGGCTATTACTAGAGATTGATGCGAATATTCAGATACGCCAGGATCAGGTCACTATAGCTTTAGAAATGATTTCTCCTACACTGGGCTCCAACTCTGTACTCCAGATAAACATGGGCCAAGGGAAAACGTCTGTTATCATGCCAATGGTTGCAGCTGTGCTGGCCGACAGGGATATGCTCAGTAGACTTCTTGTCCCAAAGGCTCTGTTATCTCAAGCTGCTCAAATTCTTCAGTCTCGCCTTAGGGGTCTTCTCGGACGCGAAATTATACATATTCCTTTCTCGCGGCGAACACAGGCGACAGTTTCTTTAATTCAAGAGTATCGCAAGCTCCATGAGAACATCTTACACAACTCAGGCATAATACTAGGTGTCCCCGAACACATCTTGTCATTCAAGCTCAGTGGACTTCAACGCCTTTCTGATTCAAAAATAAAAGAGGCTGTCGACATGATTGAGATGCAAGAGTGGATGAACAAGGTATGCAGGGACATTCTTGACGAGTGCGATTTTACGTTGGCCGTCAAAACGCAACTGATTTACCCTGGAGGTGCACAACTTGCCGTGGATGGGCATCCCAGCCGCTAGGAAGTTGCCATGACAATTCTAGGTCTCGTCTCCCAGCATCTGAAAGACCTCGCTTGTGATTACCCACAAAGCATGGATGTTATGGAGCGAAACTCTACAGGATTCCCCATAGCCTATATACTCAGAAAGGATGTCGAAGAAGCTCTAATCAGAAAAATCGTAGGCGATATCTGCAGTGGACGTACATCAATATTGCCCCTTCGCGATTGTACAGAGAGGGCTAAGCAAGCAATCAAAATATTCATCTCCCAAGAAAGAGTGGAGGTACCCATTGCTAAGCGTATTGCGAAACTCTTTCCTGACATACCTAACGCACGCAAAAATGTTTATTTACTGCGCGGTTTATTGGTGCATGGTATTTTAATATTGTGCTTAAAGAAAAGATGGAATGTCCAGTATGGTTTACACCATCGTCAAGACCCCATTGCCGTCCCTTTCCATGCAAAGGGAGTTCCCTCCGATCAAGCTGAATGGGGTCATCCAGATGTAGCTATTCTTTTTACTTGCCTCGCCTTTTATTACGAGGGTCTAAGTCCAAGTCAACTCAAACAAAGTTTAGAAGCGGTGTTAAAGTCCGACCATCCCGCAACCGAGTATGACCGATGGACGCATGGTTCTACAAGCCTTCCTGAGGCGCTTCGGCATTGGAATGTTATTACAGTGGACGATGAAGGGCAAGTTGGGGAAATATGGCGCCATTTATGTTTCACAACAACCGTTATAAATCACTTCCTCAGCAATTTTGTATTTCCTCTACACGCCAAGCAATTCGCTACCAAGCTGCAAGCCTCTGGTTGGGATGTCCTTTTATACAACCAGAGGTCTACCTGCAATACACAAGAGACTAGCTTACGGCCAGGGATTACCACGGGATTTAGCGGTACTAACGACAATAGGAGACTACTACCTCTCACTATTGAACAATATGATCTTCCAGGGCTTTCACATACCAATGCTGAAGTTCTGACATATCTCCTCCAAAAACGAAATCGAGAGTATTGTGTCGCTGCCGACAGAGACGGGAGACGGTTGTCAGAAGTTGGACTTCTGAAATACCTCCGAAAATCTGGAATCCGCATCCTCATAGACGCAGGGGCATTCATCATGGAGATGGATAACCTAACAGTTGCGAAGGCTTGGCTGATAGAAGATCCTCACGCACAAGGAGCAGTGTACTTCTCAGAGGACAATAAGCCATGGGTTCAGTATTGAAACGGCAAGAGAGTCCCACTTTTAGCAAGTCCTTTCGCGGATGACATGGGCAATTGTGTGGTCTATCTGGATGAAGCTCATACCCGAGGCACAGACTTGAAGCTGCCGTCAGATGCGAAAGGGGCATTAACTCTTGGTCTCGGCCAAACCAAGGACCACACTGTGCAAGGTAAGCAAGCTTTCGCTTTCTTAAATCTGTCTATTGTACAGTTCCTAACATGCAGACCAGCTGCGATGAGACTACGACAACTCGGAACGACCCAGTCAGTGGCGTTTGTTGCACCACCAGAAGTTCATCAAAGTATCCTAGATGTGTGTAATAAACAAGCCGGTATTATCCTAGAATCATCAGATGTTGTCACATGGCTCCTAGATCAGACGTGTACCAACAATCGCGAATTGCAGGCCCTTTACTTTTCTCAAGGAATGGACTTTTGTCGCCGTATGCAAGCAGCAATGACGCATAAAAAGTTTCTTTCAAGTTCTACTCACAGAAAGTCCTATCTGGATATCTTACAACAGCCTGAGTAGCAAACTCTGGAACAATTATACAAACCGCTCAATGACGACTTTCTAGCCTCCATGTCTGAATCACATCCAGAGTCAACTAGTGGTAAAGTGGGTGTCCTAATGCAAGAATTAAGACAGAGACGCCAGCAGTCGCAGGGATATGAGTCCATTACCAGTTCCGCTCTTGAGGAAGTTGAGCAGGAGAGGGAGGTTGCGTATGAGATTGAGGAAGAGAGAGAGGTGCAGCGACCCCGGCGTCCCAAAGCTCTAAAGTTTGCCGGGCTGCACCCGTCAATTTTGAAATTCGCCCAGGGCGATTTTCTAGCTCTTGATGATGTAACCAAAGCATCAGAAATATTAGAGTCTACGCAGCTTGGCTTGACTTACAAAATTCAAGGGTCTTGCTTAGTGCCTCGCCTTTTCCTATCTGTGGAGTTTACTCGGACAATTAAGCTGAAAAAGGACGAGAAACAGGACTCCTACACGGTAAGCTTCTCATTCCTATTAATAGTGCAGTAACCAGCTAATGTAGCGTCTCCGCATAGCGTCCTGTAAATTGGTTGCTTTTCAACACAAGAATAGAGATAGCACTCGTCATTATCCCAGAGGAGGCCGAAGAATTGATCCCAATCATGCGCAATTTGGTATCTTCAGATGTGCACCTAATAGTTTACGCAGCACCAGTCTCCAGATCCATGTTGAATTTCAATGATCTGACGTATTATGCTCTGCCCAGTCTTCCAGAGGGTTGGAAGCCTCCATCTTGGCTTCCTTTCGAGCTTGGCATACTCGCAGGAAGGCTTTATTTTGAATTCAACGAATACCACGAGTTACTCGATCGCCTACACTCCGTGTCTGAAACTGCCGATGACAAGAATGCTAAATGTTCGAGTGTCTGGGCCATCGCCAAATCTCGTCTGGGTTTCCTGCAGGAATGGTTATCCGTATGTCGCCAGGGACAGGATATTACCCATACACTAATGGGATATGTTTGTCAAGACCTCCAGCTTCGTAGTGACCATCCTTTCTTTGCTTCGACGGTTATCACGGGTCAAGACGCAGACAAGGGAAGTGGGCTCGGATCAATCCGGTATAACTCTCGAAAGGATAAGGAAGAGGATTATTATTCAAGTGATAATGGGGATGAGATGATGATTATGGAGGAGTACGAGGATGAAGGGTCAGACCATGCGGATGATTATGCGGTTGGAATTGATTGACTGGGATTGGTCTTTTGAAGGGGTATTATCATGTCAAGTTATCCAGTAGTTCTATGTCGTTTGGTCTAACGAGAAATGTCATTATTGTTGACTCATTGAGTCCATCACTTGGTACGGAGTAAATGTAAATGTAGTCTAAATCAGGCTGAAAATGGCAACAGCTGATTGGACTAACATGTGACCACTAAGCCGGCTCCAGGAGTCCACTCGAAGCTTCCCTTCCCTTTTAATACTTTACAACCCATCAGCGAGCCTGACCTGAGCTTTATCTACCTAGGTCACTCCAAAAGGACTTTAATCCATCTTATCCAACCCTCTCCTACAGAATTCCGGCCATGCTATCCCCCCTACAGCAAGTTTGCTCTCAATCGGCGGATTCCATCCTTAAACCAACACTCGACCTGCAGCTTGTCTCCGACTTCTAATCCCCGGTCGCTTCCTGCACAGCGTCGCATCGCCCGTCCATGATAAGCTGCCATCAAACCAGCCAATGTAACCACGAGTGTCTTGACGAGGATGGGAAGAGGCGGGGGGTTGGATACTGATGACGGTAGAGACATCGTCCTGAACACGATGGATGAAACGATAAGCTCTCTGTCCATCAGGAAACTCTCCATCCTCTCGACTGGAGCCGGCGCAGTTATCTATCCCTTGCTTCAGCCGCTCTTTTCGCGCCTGATTGTGGTCTTACTTCGCCCTCTCTTCCACCTGGTGTTGTCTCCTCATTCTTGACAGGGAGCCTACCACGGAAGCATTCTTTAACTCAGCTATGGATTACAAGCTGTCTCCTCCCTCATTGACCCCTGTCGATACCCCCAAGTCTGCGGGGAAAGATTCCCTGCCCGAAGAGGACCCTAACAAGAGTGATCGCTATGCTCCCGGAGTGGTCGAGAGTGTCGCCCATGTCGTCGACCATAAGGCTGAAAGGGCGCTGTGTCGTCGGTTCGATTTACGATTGCTGCCCGTATTGGCTGTAATGTGTCAGTGCCGGGATATCAGTTCCTTGACGAACGGGTTCCAACTAATGCAAGTTCATAGATCTCTTCAACGCCTTGGATAAGGGAAATCTCGGTAACGCTGAGACCGGCGGAATGAGCAACGGTGAGTAGACCGGCCCGCCTTTCTCCATTATTACCAGGCCAGTTGTCTAATCAAATCAGACTTACACTTCAAACCAAATCAGTACAACTTGTTACTTTCCATTTTCTTCATTCCTTATGTTCTGTTTGCTCCCCCCATCGCTATGCTCGGCAAGCGCTTTAGCCCAGCTCGCGTGCTGCCTATAGTGATGTTTTGCTTTGGGTCTTTCACTCTGCTTTCATCTGCCACTAAGAACTTTAGCGGCATGTTTGCCCTGCGCTGGTTCCTCGGTACAGCAGAGTCTGCTTTCTTCCCCTTGGTCATCTACTACCTGACCACTTTCTATCGTCGCACCGAGTTGGCCCGTCGCCTAGCGCTCTTCTACGCAGCCTCCAATATCGCCAACGCTTTCTCCGGTCTGATCGCTTTTGGCGTTTTCCAGCTTAAGAACACGCCGTTGTCTCCATGGCGCTACCTGTTTATCATCGAGGGTAGTGCTACTGTGTGCGTTGCTATCTTCGCCTTCTGGTATCTTCCGCGTAGCGCCGCGGAAGCCAAATTTCTGTCGACCGACGAGAAAGCTCTCGCATTTCACCGTGTCCAGGTCGACTCTAGCGCTGTTGTCAATGAGAAGTTCAATCTTCGCGATGCTCTTAAGATTTTTTGTCACCCCTCCACGTATTTTTTCCTCTCAATCGAAATCTGCCTTGGTGTGCCCATGCAGGGTGTGAGCCTCTTCATGCCTCAAATTATCCAACGCTTAGGCTACTCAACGGTCAAAACAAACCTGTACACAGTTGCACCCAATTGTACCGGTGCTGTGATGCTGCTCATACTTGCCTTCAGCTCTGATGCAGTCCGGCTTCGATCCCCATTCATCGTCCTCGGGTTCCTGTTCACTTTCACCGGCTTCATGATCTACGCCTCCATCGACGATGTTCGGGGTAAGATCCAGCTCGCTTATTTTGCCTGCTTCATGATGACCTGGGGTACTGCTGCTCCATCTGTGCTGCTCAGTACATGGTACAACAACAACGTTGCCCATGAAGGACGTCGTGTCCTCCTAACCAGTATCGGCGTTCCCTTGGCTAATCTCATGGGTCTGGTCGCTAGCAACGTCTTTCGTGAGCAGGACAAGCCCAAGTACATGCCAGCATTAATTACTGTGGGTGCATTTGGAGGTGCCGGCGCTGTCCTTGCTGGCTCATTAGGCGCCTATATGTTTTTCGACAATAAACGACGCAATCACCGCGATGGCGTCAACCTTCGTGCCTATGACATCCCAACAGAGCGTTTGCAGGATGGCCCTGCATCGCCTGGGTTTCGTTGGTTTTTGTAGTTGGTGTCTACCTAGTTATGGGGCCACCTCTCTCGAATCATGGCTATGCACAAAAGTGAACGATGAGCAACTATTATCATGATAAATAAATATCTTATGTTATGTCCTTTATGTACTAAAGAATCTTGGTAACTCTCTCATGCTGCCTTGATTCCCACTTGAAAGATGCAACTCGCAGGTATGTTGTAATACCCTTCTCCGGGTTTAAAAGGCTATTCTAAATTCATCCCAGCTTGGCTACATTGTGAACGCCTGATTATGGACATGAAAACTCAGAATAGCACTCCTACTGACTATTTTACCTGGATTAGAATGACAATGGACTCTTTCTGGCAGTAAGAAACTTGCGTCAAGAAATAAATACTTCCCCAGTTCGCGACCCCAGTAATTAATTTTGCAAGACACCTTTCTGAGTCGATGTCAATGATTCATATACACTTGAGTTACACGGAACACACAAACTCGATGGTGCTCTTCGATAAAATCACCGTCTCTCCGCCGAATATCAGCCCGGAAACGTATGTAGATATATGAGGTGTGGTCAAGATTCGAGTCAATCAGTCAGTCAAGTACCGTATTTACCATCTTCCATGTTCAGTCAGTGCTGTGCACCACCAGGAAAATAACGAGACAAAAAAAAATTGCAAGGAAGAAAGGAAGAACATACAAAGGGAATAAGATGGGCAGCGCCAGACTCGAACTTGCAACCTTTGGGGTTCGACGCTCCTTTTCCGGACTAGCCCTAGAATCCCCGTGAATGGAAAATATTTTGCTGAAGCTCTCTCCTTTCTTTGTCGGATGTATATGGTATTATTGAACGCTATTTGAAATGTCAGCTTGAAACCCCTGGTAATTTTGTGAAGTATCTGTCTAGGGTATTGGGAAGTGATGTAATTGCTACCAAGGTAGCTTTGCTGTATTGGAATATTTGTTCTGGGGTACCTGGATTCCAGTGTTATGGAAGCATGTCAAATATATTTTGAGCTCGCATAGCAACTCATCATAGACAAAAGAAAACTACATCAGTTATTTTTATTTATGTAGCTAATAACAAAGTCTATATTGATGTAATGGATGGATGGTAACTAAATATTTGAAGAAAAAAAAAAGGAAAAAAAAAAAGGAAAAAAAAAAAGGAAAAAAAAAAAGGAACTCGTGGTGGGTGGGTGGGTGGGTGGTAAAGAAGAACAAAAAAATAAAATGCAAAAGAAAAAAGAAAACGATCGGAACGAGACTCGAACTCGCAACCTTTGGCGGACATTCCTATTCGGGGTTGCCGAATTGGATAAGCCGAAAACCAACGCGCTGCCATTGCGCCATCCGACCGCTTGTTGAAGAAACCGGCAGAGATCTGACTTATTACAGTCACTAAAAACATAACTTGGAGGTCATTTTAAGATGAGTTCTACATCGCCCGTTTTGTATAATTCAACATCTTTATCTCCTGGTTCCTGAGACACTCATCTGCAAATCCCAATGCGTCATCCATGAGCATCTCAATCTCAAACTTCTCCACAACACCAATCCCCTGCAACACCTCAATTGCATTTCTTGTCCAACTCACACAATTCTTCCCCCTGACCTCTCTCCTTGGTAACGCGATCTCCTCCAGTGTTTTCCTTATATCAACCACAAACTGACGTCCCCAGGGACTTTACCGACCATAACCCGGCCTCGGATCTGAAAGGCAGGAACCGGATCGGACTCTGCTCGCTCCTGAAAACACCAGTCGTGGTTGAGACTGCGCTACATTCCCGTCGTAAGATCAAGATTTATGGAGTCTGTTACATCATAGTGGTAGTGGTTTTTTCTCTCGATCCTCGGATTTACTTGGTATCTTGGGGGAGATTAGGATTCCCCAATGATAGGCTGCGTGGCGGAGGCGCTGGCGGTTTTCCCCCAGGGAGTTCTTCCTTCTTCCCGCGAGGATGGAGGGTGACGAAGACGCGACTTTTGTTTCTCATGGAGCTGGCTGGCTGGCTGGCTGCAATAGGGATGCCTTTTTTTTTTTTTTATTCCTGACTATAATCTGGTGTGTATTGATTGTAATGTGAATTATTTGTCGAGTTTCCGGCCCTTGGTAGTGAGTGATGAAAAGATTTCCCGATCGGCCAAGTGGTAGGTCCTTGTGTACGGAGTACAATGTCGGAGCCATGCATAGGAGGCATATTCCGTAGTGTGATTTGGAAATCTGGAGCTGGGCTTAGTTTTAACACAAACCAACCAGTTAGTTACTGTGTTATATAGGAATATATGGGGTTCAGGGTACTTTAACTCAGCACCCTGGCCACCAGCCAAACAAGAGTTGTAAACCTCCCAATAGGTGGGATATATATATATATATATATTCCGTATACACTTGGAGTAATACGTAGCCATACTATGTAAACCTTAACATGATTTTCTCTGGTACATACGACCATAGGAAGTGGAGAACAGGGCTTCCCGTCCGCTCAGCCGTACTTAAGCCACTTGCCGGCCAGTTAGTAGTATGGTGGGTGACCACATGCGAATCCTGGCTGTTGTATGTTTTTGCAACCTTTTTTACTAGGATTATAGAATGCTAATCTCTGATATAGTTTGCCCTCCAGAAGTATAAAGCACATACGACCATAGGAAGTGGAAAATAGGGCTTCCCGTCCGCTCAGCCGTACTCAAGCCACTTGCCGGTTAGTTAGTAGTATGGTGGGTGACCACATGCGAATCCTGACTGTTGTATGTTTTTGTTAACATGGCTGTTATTTTTAAAAAATAAACCCCTAGTCTTTCCACTAATATTGTCCGGAGTAATAATTTTAGATAAATCCTCTAAGTATCCTGACATGTACGGGGTATTATCTAGAATAAAACTTCTCACCAGCTCGGGATTAGGGCTTGTACATACTCCCTGCCCGCAAGGGTTCGCCGTTGGTTGTCGGGATCCGGACCCAATCGGCACGCCAATACCGACATAGTTCTTCCTGTCCTCCAACACTACCGCAGTTATTGAGCATCCTAAGAAGGTTTTATAATATTATTAGATCCGTCATCTCTACCTTGACCTACTGTGGTGTCCACATCAATACCGATCCCGAGATTGGCGTCGCATTAATCCAGGCCTATACTTCACAAATAGCCTGCATGCTTATGTTTGCCTTGCCTAGTGAGTACAAACAAGAGCCAGCGCCGTATTGATATTATAGAGGGCCTTGACAACATCTCTGAGCAGATTAAAGAGCACCTGAAGCTTGACCAGGAGGTTTGGGTCGTGATAATCAACACGCTACTGTCCTTAAAAGGCAAGTCTCTGTCTTCCACCAAAAACGTCCTCAAATAATAAATGCTAATGATTCTCTAGGTACCCTCAAGATTAAGGAAATCTCCTACTTGTACTCCGAAGACCCTCCAGACCGCAACTTGCTGAGGGGTTTGGATCCAAGAGCGGCAAAAGAGAGTTGCAGTTGGGTGGAGACAGTTTATGAACCCCTCCCTGAGATACAACCCAAGACTTGAAAATTAAAATACTCATCGGGCACAAGCTTATACCTGCGGATCTTTCTGGGCCTATGAGGCAAAAAGGTTGTAAAAAAAAAAAAAAAAAAACGGTATAGTATACTACCTGTTAGAGGTTCTGCTATGAAGGTTAGGGCTTGAGTTTGGCTAAGCCCTGGTATAGGCGGTGGAAGAGAACCTATATACATACATACATACATACATACATACATATTAACCTAACTCAGACCTCACGAATCCTCCCTGTACCTACGACAGGCATACTCTGGGTTAGAATAATCTAGTTGATCTCAAAACATTATACATGGATGGTCAACCCAATTTTGCAAAGGTTTTACCCACAACCATAGAATCCACTCCACTAGGCTGAAGATCCTATCGACACTAAGTGGGATAGGTTTCGTGTATAGTGGCATCTTCCCGCCATATGCATACTACAGTAAAACCTCTTTAAGCAAAACTCCACTTCCATTGTATCTCTATCAATAGAAACATGCTCTGCCGGCTGAGATCTTTTACTATACATACAAATTTTTATCATCATACTCTTATACTAAAACCATGCAACAAACCATTATAATTCTCTATATAGATATTTTCTTAAACAACCCAGAAATAATCTTATTTCAAGACACACACACACACACACACACATATATATATATATACCTACCCAAGGCCTAGACACTAGTAAATCTTATACTCCGGCATCTGCATAATCTTACTAAGAGCATAAGAAACAAAGCTATTGCCGGGATATGTTGCAGGGAGTATTGTGTATATAACGCCCCGATACTCAGAGGACATAAATAGTCTCCATCTGCTGAGCATCAGCTTGCTCAATCAATCTTCAATTATATTCACCTAGGCCTCATCCACAACATGGGCACCTCCTTGAATATGACCGCAGCTCATGCTGAGAGGCAGATAGCCTTGGGTGCCACCGATGATGTCCAAGGCACTCGCATCGTCTATACCCTTGCTGCTGTTGCTCTTGCTGCTACCGTCCTAAGCCGATTTGAGGGAGGACGCAAAATCCTTGAGCGTGTCTACTGGTTTCTCAATAGCCTACTCGGCGGAGCCCCTCGCACCATCTCCATCCCCGGGCCTCGCGGTCTCCCCATTATGGGAAACCTGATCCAGGTGAGTGTCTTTCATGAGAGTGCGGCCGTGGTTCATCTGACCGTTTGATGTAGATGCAAAATAGTCATATCCAAATGATGGCCGAATGGACCAAGAAGTATGGTGATGTGGTCCGTCTCTCCCTCGGTGAGCGCGAGGCCGTAAGTTCTCCATTATCTTGATATAGCTAGAGAAGGAAATTGGAATTGACACAGCCCTTCGCAGGTTTTAATCAACAGCCACAGGGCCCTCGCTCAGACGATCGTGCAGCAGGGTCCCGCCTATCAGTCGCGTCCAACATTGAAGCACTTCCACGGCGACTCTGTATCTTCTGGTATTTGGACGGTTGGCAGTAAGTCTTGCTAGCGATCCATAAGCTTGACCGCAAGGCTCAACCGATTTACTCTCCACAGCTTCGCCCTACAGTAACCGCCTCGTTCGCACCCGCAAAGCGCTTTCATCTCAGATCGCTCCTCGTCTCCTCCCTACCTACACCCCCGTCATTCACCCCAAGCTCAAGAAGCTCCTTGGTGACGTCCTGGAGATAAGCCAGGGCCCGGCAGTCGACATGGCCGACAGGCTTCACCGTTTTGGTACTGGACAGGTCTCTGAGCAGCTCGTGGGCCAAGCCCTTGACGATGACCTTGTGGGAAAGATTGCAGAGAATGAGATCAATATCTGTGAGTACCCTCATTGTTCAATTGATCTAAATGTTCTGCGGCACGGCTAACACTTCGCCTCTTGCCTAGTTCGTCAACGCACCATCGGCTCGCCCCTTGGTGACTATATCGCTCCCTGGCGGATGGCCCTGTCGACCCGCTATATGATCGGCCGGATTCTCGGTATTAAGTCGTGGGCTCTGGATAAGAAGGCGGAGAAAACCAGCGAGTACCGCAATTTGCAGCAGGAATATCTCAACAAGATGATGGGCAACCTGAAGGACCGCATCTCAGCCGGTGACGAGACTCCCTCTATTCTCGGCAACATCCTCCGTCAGAACCTTTTGACTGAAGAAGAGGTTCACCTGGCTTCCTATACCGGCAGTATGTCCTCTCCCCCCCGCCCTCCCTGTCATCATGTTAACTGGTACAACTTACTGACTACTCGTCAATAGTCGCTGCTGGCGTCAACGTTGGTTACTCTCTCACTTGGACCATCGGCTATCTGGCCAACCGGCCTGATCTCCAGCAGAACGGCTACGATGCCATTCGTGAGGTATATGGCAGCGAACCCCCCAAGCCGCACGAATTCGATCGTGTCGAATACGTCAAGGCTCTGCACACCGTGAGTATATATCTCCATTCTCTCGATCTTCAACCACCTCTGACTCGGACAACATAGGAGGGCTCTCGTGTCTTCACGCCCGTTCGTCTCGGTTTCCCGCGCGAGACTCTCAATGGTGCCAGTTATCAGGGTCACAGCATCCCCAAGGATACGGTACGTACATCAGCTGTCAGGCTGTGAACTGCATCCTCTCTCTCTCTCTCTCTCTATCTCTGGACAAAACCCTAACATTCTTTTTTTTTTTTTTCTTTTCTTTTATCTAGATCGTCATCATGAATCTATTCGCCTGCAACCACGACCCCATCGCCTTCGACCACCCGGACGAATACCTCCCCGAGCGGTGGCTGAACGGCCGCAAAGGCCGCACCGATCTGTTCGCCGAGGGAGGCGACAAGCTGGGTGTTCCACACTTGACCTACGGTGCTGGTCGCCGTGTCTGTCCCGGAATCGACAGTAAGTTTCTCCCACTCTCCCTGAGATTCGACTCAGCGTGTCTTCAAAGCCAACTAACCAACTAACCAACCCTTATCTAGTGGCCAACCGCAGTCTCTACTCGACCCTCGTCCTCCTCCTGCACTTCTTCACCTGGGAGCGCCAGCCCCTCGGCGAGGAAGAGAAGAAGCTCGTCTTCCCGCCGTTCCGCGCTGAGCGCGAGTGCTCGCTGGAAATGAACGCCGTCACCGATACTGCGACCCCCACGGAGACGCAGGCTGTTCCATGGTCGGTCGGTATCAAATTCCACTGCCGCGATCCCAAGGGGCTTCGCGCGTGGCTTGAGTCGTCGGAGCACTGAACTCGTTTGCGACTAAAGGGTTGTTGTTGTTGTTGTTGATGATGATGATGATGATGAAAATAGACTGCGTTGGGGTTTAGACTGCTAGCGGGTTGCTGGATCATGTTAGACTATGTATAGAGAGAGAGAGCCTTTCACTTGTCTTATCTTGTCTTGTCTTGAAACTGTCAAGCCATGGATAGGAAGGATATGATTGACTGGTCTGTTAGTGCATTTGAAGGCTCAAAATTGACAGAGGAGGAAAAAGATTGCAATCGATTTATTTCTATTACCGATCACATCATTGTTGAAAGTGAGGTGATCTCGTGCATGTTAGGTTAGCAGAGTAAATCACACTATAATCCTATCATTCTACTGAAGGTGCAGAGTGACTGTTGGTTAACATCGCTCCTGTGCAGGTGCAATAACCCTAATAAAGCCCTCCAGACTATACTTACCCACATACCTACCTATCAAGTAACAGCAAGTCAGATCTGCACTCTCATGCTTGTATTATTAATAAGACCTTCCTGCCAGCCATGTGGACCCACCACCAAGTACGAGGGTGTCTGGTTGAAGCTGTATTGGATGCTCATAGTCTACATCAAGGCGGCAGCTACACACAGATTGAAATAAGGGGCATAGCGATAGCAAGCAAGTTAGACCTGTCATTATAAACTGTTGAGCAACGAACAACAACACTGTATCAGGACGAAATGGTTGTCTAGGCACCTTTTTAGCCGAATGGCAAAGTTGACATAAACTACTTAAGAGGATAATGAAGGTAAGGTTATTCTGTTTTCCAGCCGCCCGGAATGGGCCACAGATGTTTTGCAGTTTCGTACCCTCCGCGGTGGGTATCGGATTATTCGGATCGGGTTTCTCGTGACAAGACCTAAGGTGGACAAATGCTTCTTCTTCGCTGGTAGACATAGATACCCTGGTCCTCTAATTGTTGCATAAGTTTGTGGTTCGCAGCATCATCAAGGATCCGAAGCACGCATCTTATGTTGTCGTTTCTAGTGTAGGTTAGTGGAATCCAGCTGCTTGAATGGAACGGAGACCAGGCTTACTGAGACGGTGGACAATAGAGACAGGACAAGAGTAAAGAGGTATGAACAGTTGAAACTCTTCGAGCTTCTTCTTCTCTTGGAACATCCAGGCGTCTGTTGCAATATCTGCGGCATGCACGAGCATGTTGAACTTGGCGATTTTGTTCTTTTGCGATGATATGGGCTGCCGGAGGAATGTTCTGTATCTCACGTTGAGCCATCTATCACTGTCCGTCTGGAGTATGCGGGTGTGTGTGTATGTGTTAATTGTTTTCTTGACTTCGGCGAGTGCTCGGTTCGTGCTGTCGAACTTTGCCTGGAACTCCTCTCATAATTTCATGAACTGAGCATCATGGTTAGTTTCCACGGCGGTAAAAGCTCAAAGGCATTCACCTGGGGATTATTCACTCCTAGGCAACACCAATGAACAGGAAAAGCCAGAAGCGTAAGCCACTCTAAGCCCCAGCTGAGGCCTGTAAAACGTAAACGTCGACTCATGGCCTGGGGATTATCAAGATCCGAGAGCGGCTTAGCAAAGATCTGTGCCACGGCAGACGCAATATAATGGCTCCAGAGATTGCGTGGGAGTTCGCAGGCCTCAGCCGAGGTCTGGCTTTAAGTGGTTTACGCTTCTGGCTTTTCCTTGATCGTCAGTGTTTCCTAGGGGTGAGTATAAAGTAACCTTGATGACGAATAGGAAACGCGGAATACCGTCCTGCTAGTCGCTTCTGGACAGCGTATCGAGCTTTGGTATCTTCAAGTAGACTTTCCCACACAATCTCTGGAGCTATTGTATCAAGCAGAAGTGTAAGCAGCTTTCGGGATCTTGATAATGATCTTGATAATCCTCAGGCCAATCTATAGGAGTGATTGTAAAGAAACTTTGTAAAAGCTTGATTGATAGTGCAAGGGAGGTGGGGAAGGAAGAAAAGAAAACGAGGGAAGAAGACATGGAAATTAGAGAGATATTAGAGGGCGGGAGGAAGCTGATAATACAAACATCAACAAGAGAGGACATCTAATGCCTTACCCTGGCGTTATTTGAGAGCATTAGATTTTCAATACAAGTTCTATCATATGAAACCTGTAATAGTTATGATTTTGAATAACCTCGCCCGGCTTCACTGATCATGCACACATAATGCTTACTCCTACCATATATTAGGGAAGAGTAACTCATATAATCCTTACTATAGGAGTAATTATCTATATCAACAACAAAAGATTACACAAAGACTTGTCAAGCACATACGACCATAGGAAGTGGAAAATAGGGCTTCCCGTCCGCTCAGCCGTACTCAAGCCACTTGCCGGCCAGTTAGTAGTATGGTGGGTGACCACATGCGAATCCTGGCTGTTGTATGTTTTTGTTTATTAATTTTTTGACTGAACCTGTGCTACGGACTCTAGGTATCTTACCAAAGCCACCAAGCAAACTTTCGATCTCTAGAGCTATTGCATTGTGTCATGGCATATACTCCGTAGGTCTTTGCATTTCTCTGAGAACCCAGTCTGAGTGAGATATAACCGTATGAAGTGGTTCTTGAGCCTCGACCATGCATGCTATATAAAAACGGTTCTGGGCATTTGATTCTCAGATCGGTCAACGTATCAGTGCGAAGCTAACGTCTTAATAGCTCCTCCATTCGACAGGGGTTCGAGGGTGCGTCGAATCTCTATTTCAGGTCATTCGAATGAAGATTTGGCGTCACGATAGGGCAAATCAAGGTAGAAGGTGCAGAGTGCTGCTTGGTAGGTAGTAAGCTCCGTCAATGCCAATTTGGAAAGCTGTCAGGGTGTTACCTACCGAGCTGCGGTGCGTTAGGTGATTTTCTGACGAGCCAGTCTTTGATTTGGAAGAGAATCCACTTGTATAGTTCTTCATGCAAGCCAGATATGCAAAATCTCAAAGCTGATTGATGGAGGAATTCGTGGAGTTTCCTACTTAACCAGTGAGGGTAGAGAGTTCTGTGGGCCACGTCTCGCTAGCAGGTCACGGGATGTCCCCGGCACCCATGTCTATAATGTCGAGCAACAAACAACAATACTGTATCAGGATGAAATGGTTGTCTGGTCACCTTTTTAGTAGGAAGCAAGGGAGTAGTCTGGTGTGGATACAGATACTTGGATTTATTGCAAGCAAGTGTAGCTATTAGTTGAGATATAACCGGCAGAAGTGCTTCTGTGTATAGCAGACAAAAAGAAACTAAACAAATCTCTGGAGGTATAAATACAAGACAGGCGTACATTCCCGGGCAACTAAGCCTCCCAATACCTTCCCTTCCGCCCATAGTACTCTACAAGGCAGCCTTGGCTAGATTGCCCTGGAACGTGGAGTCCTTGAATGGCACCGTGGCGGCACCAAAGTTGGCCTGTTCCAATCCCCTGCGCGCGGCAGGCGACATAGAGTCCCAGGCAATAAGAGGTAGATCCCGACCCAAGGTGTTGGTGAATTGCAACTCGTGGTTGGTGGGGAAGTTGGTGAAGTATTCAACCTTGGGGCGGTCTCCCTGGCGCTGGGGGTTGGTGGTTTTCTTGTACTTGCCATGACCGGAGGCCGCGCCGCCCAACAAGGTTGGGTTACGCACACTGGGGTTATTCACCCAGATAACAACGTTCTCCCAGTCGTGGCGGTGGGCACCCACCGACACACCGCTGTTGGGCATGTCCTTGGGCATGTACCAAGCGTACATAATGCCATAGCGGCCATTGTGCCAGCCACCGCGTACATAGGTCTGGCCCTTGGACTGGTCCCGGCAGCCGCCAGTGGAACTTCCGGTATCCTGGAGACCACCACTGCATTGCATGTTAGTTGAGTCGATTGAACCCCTTGGAGAGAGAGGACTTGCCTGGTACCGCCGTTGGAAGCAACAGCCGGGTAAGACTGGCAACCATGCGCAATATGCAAATACGGCTCGAACTTCTTGAAGGTGTTGCCGACTGCATTATGGGGAACAGTCTCACCCATAGGTTGGATAGAGTCGTGAGGCACCACGCCACGCTTATCCATGGGAGAGGCCTGCACGGCGACAAGTGCCGTCAAGATGGCTAGGAAAGTCTTGGGAAGCATTGTGAGGATTTATAGTAGCTGGAGGATAATCTTTGAATGTGGTTGTATTGACATGCTCGCTCAAACTCGAGGAACCAGGCTTCATTTATAGGACCTTCGAGGACCCTCGTGTGCTCTCTTAAAATTACAAAAAACTTGGCCAAGACCTCATAATGAGGATCTTCTTCTGGAATTTGTGTTCTACAGTGTATTCCCCTTCCACCACGATGGTATAGAGAAAGGCCGCTTTTGGCAGGTTGACAGCTGGAACTAATCCGACCAGTGTCTGAGAACATGCCTGACCCTGAAGAACGCCACCCAGCGGGACGTTGAAGTCTTAACAGGATGGATATCAAAAGTCAACCAACCATAGTTCCCTCTGCCCTTGTAGACTGCCCGGGGATATGTCGGTGAAATCGTGCGATTGGGGATTCCGTCTGGCGGATTCGAATAAATAGAGACACTTGCATTTCTTGGCTCCAGAGACTTTGGGCGATCCTCCTTCCTGGTTTCTTCATGCAATTTACCCTTTGTAGCTGGTTTATATCTGTCCCGAATACGACTATATATGACTGGTTCTCTTGGAACCGGCTGAAACACAACGTGAATCAATCTTGTTGGTTGAACTTGACGATGAATGCAACATACCTAGGTCTCATTGGCGGGACTTTGGAATTAAATAATCTCCTCCCATTGGAAGCACGCGTCAAGCAATGTAACTATCTCATACCCTGCATGGCAAGACCCGTGATCATGTCATATCAGGCTAGGACCAAGCGCCAAATCTGCTGTTTGATATCTCGGAAATTGACCTGCTACTGTGGGGGGATTGTTAACAAGATACTGGGATATTGGCACAAGACGTGTTCTACTCTTATGACTGGTTCACAGAATGCGCTCGACTTGGTAATGAATTCGCCCAAGTGTATCTGGTGCTGTTGCTCGATCCACAGTTTCTAGAGGTCCAGTTCAAAGAGCTGTGCACATATAACGTTTCACGTATTATAGATTGATCTGCGTGCCGCTTCTCTGGTTAATGAATTCAGGAGACCAGAAGACCGAGACATCCCAACAAGGCGAAAAATACGGCCTTGCTGTAAGTACGTACTATCTTCTTCTACCTACTCGTACACTGAACGCTCCAAATCCAAGGCCATTGACCGTGCGTGTGTTCACTGAATTGGACCAGAACAAGATTAAGGGGGGTGACTACCCACTGGAGCCAATCGAACTGAACCACTATACACGGCACGTGTGTGTATTCTCTACACTTTGATGGCATCGGCAGTTATTCTGTATATAGCATTAAGTCCCTGAACGTGAGACAGCCCGCTAAGCGATCATCACTAGTCATTCTACCAACCGAACGGTGCTAATAAAAGGCAGGTTCGTTTCGGATCTAGATTAGGAATCTGAGATCCCTGAACAACTGCAAATGTACTTGAAACAGGATATTAAACCACCCAAACTACATGGACTGATGGTGAGGACAGTATAGCACCACCATTTCTCTATTCGGTAGGGATGGTGAATCGTCGAAGGTTTCGAGTGGTTCTATCCTGCCCTGCTTCGCAAGAGGTGATTGATAGATATCCATCTTCGCGGACTTTGCTGAGCGAGGCGTAGAAAGACCCCATGAGTTCTCCTGGCTAACATTCTTCTCGGTTCCTGTGGTACTCAATCGCTCGAATTCTTGACTGGAAAATCAAGATTTGGGTTGACTGCTCCAATCCTTCTAGCGTATACATACGTATAGGTATAACTAGTCTAGATCCGAGCTGCGTCTAGAGAGTTGAGGTTCAATTACGGAGTAGTTGACTCACCTAATGAATGATTTCTGGTAGCATTGCAAGGGATCTAGGGATAACTTATTCCCTTTATAAATGCAAGGGCTCACATTCCAGGTTAAATTGCACGTACATACATACATATACATAATATATCAGTCAACTGAACCAACAGTTAACCATATAGCATAGACTATGCGCTAAAAATTCATCCACATTACCTAGGTATTTCTTCCCACGCCATGCGTGTTACCGCCATATCAATTACCCTCCTTTCCCTTATCGGCTCGATTTCAGCCCGAACTCTCGATGATCCAGATGAGTTCACGTCGCTCGGATGCCCCGCGACCACGAACGCAAACGCTTCCCCAGCAGAGCAGCTCGCAGCGTGGGAGGATTTCGCGGATCTTTTATACATTCGGAAAAGCCCACGAGATGCCCTGTTGAAATATGCTGCGGCCGGGTACATCAATCACGCGCCGCACGTCCCGGAGAGCGGACGCGACAACGCTATCGACTATCTGTCACGGAATAAAGGTTCGAATACCGTCCAACTACGGCATGTGTATATCGGCTTTGATAAGAATGGGACGACCTATGCGACTGCGCATTTCCAAGCTACACCCGAGAACGGGAATTCCTCAGCATCGGTGGATATCAGTCGGATGGTTGGGAGTTGCTTGGTTGAGCATTGGGAGGCTGGGCAGAAGATGGATCCAAGCGATAACCCGATTGCATACTTTTAGTCTAGATAGTTATTCCAATTGTGATTCTGTATCCCCGAGGTTGGATTTTCGTCTGCGGTGGTCCGACCTGTAGTCACGGGGAAAAGGCGTCTGAGTTGATTATTTAGGAATTAATAGCTCATCACTCCACAAAATAGACTACCAGTGCTTGACAGTTCTCTTAGTGTCAGACGATTTCATAAAGTGGCTGAGACAGACAAGGAGACATGATGATAGGAGCCAGCTTAAAGAACTTGGGATTGTGGGGGGGGGGAAACACTATCAATATTTGACAAGTTATTGACGTAGATAGACATTCGCCTTCATTTCTCTAGGCTTGCTTGATACTCCCTGGTGATAAAGTAGATATTGCTTCCCAATAGAACTCAGTCAAATGGCCAATACCTCTTGTACTCAGCTTTTTCCTCCTCAGTCTCTGCTAATTGCTCTAATATCTGGCATTTGACATTGTCAAGGGCAGCTTTGCAATCATCATATTGCGCATGCTCTATGAATCCTTTATCTGGCCACAGATCACCCAGACTCTCTTTCGCCTCTAAAACAAGATCGGTGCCTGCTACCGCCGCATCACTGTCTAGCTTAATCCGCTCGATATCTGCCTGAGAGAAGTCAAAGGGGGATGGGGTATTACTAGTAACACTAGGCAAGCTTGCCCACGAGTCCTTAAGATCAACTAGGAGTGATTGAAAGTGTGCCTCGCCATCTTCGTACATACGATGGGCAAGAAATATCAATCCATAGGCTGGTGTCTTTCGGAATTCAATTACTTGATATAAGGTCAAGTGTCTCGGGTTCAAGGCCATCCCAGTCAAGGAAGGCCGGATCTGGATTGTGATTGAATAGTGGCGAGATATGAACAAGACTGCCAATCAATAATACCTGTAATATTTTCAGGATTATCTGGGTCTACAAAGAAGTTATCATCATGTAGCTGCATGCAAAAAAATTAAACATCTCACATACATGGCCCCCTATTAATATCCAATAACTTCGATCGGGCCCCATCAAGCCAGTCTCGAGCTATAATAGGGCCAATAGTAAACCCAGAACTTTCAATGGTATTGCCGTCTTTCACATAGTAACTGCTATTACTATATTGTTGAACGTCTCCTGCATAGTATAAGCTGCCATAGTGCGAGAATGAAACACTCAGCCATTTCTTTTGGATTCGTGTTATAGCAAGAAGTACCTTGAGCTTCTGCGGAAGTTTCGTAGTGCCCCATACTTGAGAGAGTGGAACACTCTTGACTTTATCCATAATAATAAACTCAGCCCCAACAGGATGTGATTCTGCTTGTGAGTTCCATAAGTAAACTTGGGGCACTGGTGTATCCAGGACTTTTCTTGCCTGCCACATTATTTAGATGAATAATTCTAGTAATAGAGTTTCCAAGGTAGTCTTACAAAATCCATTGTAGCAACTTCACTAGCTGTAGTAAAGTGTGGAACACCAGCATTCGGATTTGGCACCTTAGAAACGACTTCTTGGCCATTATCCATGGTCATAAGGAATGTTTTATTAAACATGCCATCTGGGTATTTCTTAATAGAAATATATTGACCAGCGCCAACAGAATCTGCAGCGACGCGTGCGAGTTGGTTCAAGTCAAACCTAGTTTCTCGCATTTGCAGATTCTTCGCCTCTTCCACAATAAAGCGACCACGAGTGAATTAAAAAAATTCATCGCTGGAATTCCAATCTGTTCCTGATCAGTGATAGATTCAATCACGCTTGGATAGGGCTCTTACCAGTCTTAGAGGGGCGCATGTCGACGCCAGGAAGGCCAGGAGGCGATGATGAATCTTTGGACATTGAACGGCGGTATTGCTTCGAGATTTGTTTGAGATTTTGAATATCGCACCGGAGACGCGTCGAGAGCGGTCGGCACAGCACATGTTTCGTCAAGGTGAAAGTGCCGATGCTGCCCACAGTCCATGAAGCGCGTAGCACCCTATCATGTTCATGTCCGAGAGGTGAGAAAAGAAAAGGGTGGAGATGGATTTCTTGGGGATAAGCTTCAGGGCTGATGAGCCGTGTAATAATCATGCAGATGAAGTTGACGCAAGTTCTAGTTCTAGCCAGCTAGCCTAGGTCAAATGGACGTGTTCTTTGGGCGGGCTTACAGCTTCATCGTGGGTACATAGAATCTCTACCCACGCCGAGAGTTACTCCGTTCCGGGTTTCTATGTACCTATGATGAGCTTATCTCTACCCACGATGAGCTGCATCCCCGGTATCCCCAACCAAACCATATCCTAAATACACGATGTCATCCCCTGTGTGGACTGCAACCGTGCAAGCTAGTGCCCTGGCAGCTGTTTCTAATGGCATAGGGCAGATTATAACCAACCAACGGACCAAAGGAAAGGCCTCATCATCTATTAGTTTGTCAGCGCTGGTGCGCTTCATGATTGTTTCGGGGCTCTGTACCCCGCCCAACTACAAATTCCAACTGGCTCTTGAAAAGCACTTCCCGAGCGTGAGTCTCGTCGAATAACCCCGGAGAGGAAAGCTAAGCGGCTAATTCAAAACGTAGGATGTCGGCGCGAACGGCTCGATGGATAGAAAATCCATTATCAATACCGTGATTAAACTGGCGATTGATCAAACCGTAGCGTTGGTTCTGAATTGCGTGTTTTATATTGTTGGCATGTGTGTATTGGAGGGGAACAGTTATGCCCAGATCAAAGCAGCATTAAAACAGGTATACCCTTCTTTTCTTTTCTTTCTCGTTCTTCTTCTGCTTCTTCTGCTTTTAATCGGGTGCTGAGAATACTGGTTTCAGGGTCTCGGGCCTATGATCCGTGCATCATACAAATTTTGGCCGGCTGTGACCCTTTTAAACTTAGTTGCTGTCCCTGTTGAGCAGAGAACGCTGGTCGGTAACATTGCAGGCTTCTTCTGGGGTATTTATGTTAGCTTTAGCGATTTCGCATGATTGTTTTGCTATTGGATACCTTCTTGGCTCTGGTTCGGTCCTATTTACATGCCGGACATTTCAAGCCCAGAGAAGAAAGTAGAACGCTTCGGATGAAAGAAGATAATTTATCCAACCTAATTAAAACTGTCCACACGAGGCGCTCGGCTTTACTAATCTATTTCGAGCTGTAAGGCTTTGTCGAAAAGCCAAGAGTACAGCATTACTGGAGAGTATGTGAATGGTATCGAAATTAGGCCAACAGAATTGAGGCTCTGGAATCAAATCCGGGACGGGACGAGATATCAAACCCTGGTATGGCCGGCCCACTTCAGCCTCATTTGCGCTCTGGGCGTGGGGGCTTTCTTTACAGCGCATCGCTAGATCGGCGACAGGCTACCTAAGTATACAAACTACAAAGGTACTGGAATGCGTCAAAAGTGGAGCATTACAGATGCAACCCTTAGGAAGAATCAGCCCACATATAGTAAGCAGCACAATACGGAGTACTCCGTAGTAATGGGGCGAATAATCCGTGAGTACCAGACTACCGATCAGGGGCTCGATGCAAGTAATGAGCCCGTATGGAGTTTCCACTAGCACTATGCATTGCTTGTTACATATGTGTCTGTGCCTACCTAGCCTAGGTAGGTAGAGTCTGTGATGATAACCGTCACTTTCAGCTACTTGACTGAGAGATATTAATGATGAATGATAGTAGAATAAAATCAGGCTCAGGAAACGAACATGATACCTAGGTATGATTACCTATACTCCGTACTCCGTATTCCTCGATATCTTTATTATTTCGATTTAAAAGTGTATGCCATTGTATGGCCAATCGTGGGAGAAGAGCTTATCTTGACGTCCCACACCCAAAAAAAGAAAAGAGAATGACCGCGGCACAAGGCAAGCTCCGCCGCTAACTATGGAGTACATACATACATACACTAAACAGTTGGGTTGCTGGACTGTACGGAGGATTCTGTTATCTATCAATACCCTAGCGACCTATTATAGTATAGCTTAATGGAGGCTAGAGGCACCGGGGCGCATATACTGTAGGTATACAAAGTTATTGCGCGTATTATCGCTATGGCCAGATTATTTCAACAGAGAAAGGGTCGTTAGTCAATTTCCAAGACCACAAATTAACCGGGTTAGATAGAGCACTGCAATCAAGTGGAATAGCTGCATGCACGAGGTTGACGGCCGGCATCCGGAGTACTCCGTAGGATGATTTTCGACCGCCAATCGCGCTACTGCTCCAGGGCCAGGAAGGTACCTGGTGGCACGATCGTGTCTCAAGTTAATCTGGCGGAAATCGAGATGTTGAACGTGGGAAAGAATGTGACCAAGACCAGATCGCTCTGGTAGCAGATGGTCCAGTTCTTTCCCCCGGGTATACTATACTAATATGTACAGAGTATAGTCTGTGTGACTGAATATAATACAGTATAATCTAGCAACTAAAACTAATCTATTACTACATAGCGTTATTTACAAAGTAGGCATGGCATGTACGCCAGCGAGGTAACAGAAGAAAATTCCCATATAGCCTCCTCCAAGTCCAAGAAATTACTTACATAAACATCATCAGGGTCTTGTTCTCTGTTTAATCTGACACAGCAAGGGCTGCGGGACTGTGACTGGCACTTGACGTCGAGCCAGCATGAGCCGTTTCCGAGGTTTCAGAAATATAGAATTGTTTGTGTTCCCAGATTTGCAACGGATCGCTTCTGATGTGTTCTTGACTCTCCGTCCGATCGATACCGCTGCGCAACTGGCTGCGCTCCGTGCGAAGGTTCGACATCGGAAAGGTGCTTCCATTAGGGTAGGCGTAGGCGTAGGCATTGGCACTGGTTTTGCCGCTGCGCGATAGGAAATCACGGGCGTTGAGTAGGCGACGGACGAGGGGCCAACATTGTGGGATGTTTGCGACAAGAACCGCGGTGCCGGCTTCTCGCACGTACCAAGCAATCCACTGGGCACCATAGGGATGGTGCAAACTGTAGTATTTAGACAAGCAGCCGCAGAAAATCACGAAAATACCAAGCGAGAAAATGCCGCACAGCGTAACCTTTTTCCAGATCGAGAGTCGCGCTTGGATGAGAAGCGGGAGCGGAATACCCATCATCAGCAAATCGGTGGTGACGTTGGCTGACAAAACCAGAATCAGATGATCCGTATAGACGGAGCAGTTCATGGATGTTGCTGGGATCGCCCAGTAGTGGTGAAAAGGACGACACCAAACTACAAAGAAACAGATCTGGATCAACAGGTAGGAGAACGCGGTGATGACGCTGATAATCAGCACAAGGCGGCGATGGAGCTCTAACCCTGTTGTGATGCTTTTGTACAACAGCAACAAGCAAGCCTTGCTACCCCAGACTGTCGCTAGAAACATCTGCTCCGTGATAATCACCCACTTGCTACCCAGCACTCGGTCTGCGATTGACGGTGGGCCGATTTCATCTAGAGGCGTTCCCAGTGGGATTTCGTTGGCTCCCAGTCTCCCAACAGTGACCAATCCTGCGGTCATGATACAGAAAGCCACCTGAAGTTGATCGCCGCGGGTTAATATCAGCGTCACAGAGCATCCCGGCTAGGAGAAGTGAACGTACCAATACCCCGACCATGATCGCATCCTCCCACTGGAGCCGCTTGGGCGACCCCAACTGGAGAACTCGCGCCGCCAAACGCATGATAACTGCGGAGAGTTGCTAATCAGCATGTTTAGCGTTCTTCGACTTGAAGGGGCTCCGTACTGATAGTTCCAACCACCGCTACCCACACGTAAAATTCATTTTCGGAAGACATGAGATGGGTTGTCGAGGTAGAAGTCACTTGCGACAATCTTGTTTCCCAAGAACCAGGGTGACTAACTTACCGGGAGAGGGGAGGGTTACTGATAATCCCTTGTGGACTTCCCTGTGCTCCCGACATTATTATTAACGAAGTTCCAGGACAGATTAACTTCTACTCAGAAAGACCTTGTTCCGGTCAGAGGGCTCATATAAGAGATCCAGTGAAAAAACGTGGCTTGGACACTGGCCCTGCCAATAATACCTTGGGACCCAACGATAACCCCTTACACCCCGCTTCACATTCGTTCTATCAAGGGCCCCATATCTAGTCAAGGGGAAAAAAAAAAGAAAAACAGGCTTAAATTGCTTGGAATGGTTGTGCGCGTATCCGCGTGTGCGTGCGTGCGTCCAGTGATGTCCCCGTATTAGAGACGAAATTGGGGGGATCTCTTCGCGAAATGTTTAACCTAGATTTCCACCACCTGGCATGGTCCACTTTTTGCCCAATGCAGCAAATAGTCTCAGGAGCCCGAGTTCCGCTCGAGTTTATATGAAGAGATAAGTGGAATGTCCGGTGCACCAGTAACATAACATGGCAAGGTACCGAAAACTGGGCGTGTCGAATCGAGTATTATTTCCGAGATCCAAGGAAAACAACAGTAAAGGGTAGTAGAATGAATGAATGAAATGAAGTAACTGGGATCTTAATACTTCCTAATCAATTAGTTCCAAGTAGATGATGAGGATGAGGATGAGGATGAGGATGAGGATGGGATGAAGATGAGTTGGTGATTACTAAGTCGCTTTTGTTTTTGTTTACCTAATCTAATCACCTGATGGCTTTGCCTAATTGGGAAGGTGTCAACATACTCAAATATTAGTTAACTAATTAGGAGGTATTCCGTATACTAATTGCTCCTCAAGAAACCACCAATTGGCTAAATATGCCGCTTATCGGGCCCCAGCGCCCTAGATGCCTCTAACACCAGGCTAAGCACATTTCTAAACCCGAAACGTGTTGGTGGTCCGACGCAGATAACCAAAGAAGCTTTTCTTCCTTGTTTCCAAATCGCTTCGGTGGCTTCCGATGCAGAGTGGTCAAGGCAGGAATCGGAATGTAACATTGGGGTTTTGCTTATTCTCGTTGGAAGAACAGATAATAAACATGGCTGTCTCCCTGTCAAGGAGGGAAGTTTTCACACCGTTTGTTAGCGTCGCAATATCATGTCGGACCGTGAAGAGAATTCCTTCTCCGCTAAGGATGTCGAGGCCGCAGTGGTTTCTAGGGAGGCCACGGTTGAAAGACGCCACAATGGGACCGAGAACGGCTCCATCGATGAGATTGCCCACAAGCATCGTATCCTGAATTCCATCCCCGTCCTCAAGAAGCTGAACGATGCAGAGAAATGGATGGATCGTGCTCTGGGTGGGGATGAATTGTTCGAGACACAGGGAATCGACAGAATTACGGATGACCAGAAGAGGCCTCCGTCCATCTGGAATGCCCTGATGATCTGGTCGTCGGTCACAATGCACGTTGGGACAATCCCACTAGGTGTCCTGGGTGCTGAATATGGGTTGTCGTTTAGTGGTGCTATGTCCGCAGCGACTGTGGGTATTTGTCTTGGTGCCCTCTGCCCTGCCTTTACGGCGATATTAGGTCCGCAGTTGGGCCTGCGACAAATTGCGACATCGCGATATTCTTTTGGATTCTGGGGCGCTAAGCTGTGCTCTGTCTTGAACGTTATTGTCGGAGCCGGTTTCGCTGTGGTCAATACCGTTGTGGTCGGCCAAATTTTGGCAGCTGTCTCCGACTATACAATGTCCATTGTCGTAGGATGCGTGATTATTGCCATTATCTCCTACGTGCTTTCCTTCTTTGGGTTCCGCCTCATCCATACCTTTGAAAAGTACTCCTGGATTGCCGCCTTCATCCTGTTCATTGTCTTATACGCCCAGGCGACTCCAAAGGCGCGGCCTTTTGATACCCCAGGGTTTGATACCGGACTTGCGCTGAGTGGAGAATGGCTGTCCTTTATGGCCCTACAATTTTCTAGTGCTTCTGGCTGGTGTTCCATGGCCTCGGATTACTCCTGCAATTACCCTAGTAGCGTTAGCAAATTGAAGATCTCTATTATGACCTGGTTGGGACTTGTCCTGCCCACGTGCTTTACCACCTACCTGGGGATCATCCTCGGCCAGGCCGCTACTCTGAACGCATACCCTCCATACGCTCAAGCCTATACCGATCACGGACTCGGTGGACTCCTTTTTGAGGCTTGGCGACCGGTCGGATGGGCCAAGTTTGCCTGCGTTATCGCCTCTCTCAGTGTCTGTGGGAACAATATTGCTGTGAACTACTCATCAGGTCTCTCGCTCCAGCTGCTCGGAGACTATTTCCACGCCGTGCCGCGTTTCATCTGGTCGTTTCTCGTCGCGTTAGTCGTTGCCCTCCTCGCTATTATTGGCCGCCAGTCTCTCTCGACAATTGTTTCCAACTTTGTATCCTTGTTGGGCTACTGGACAGTCTCGTACACGATCATCCTCCTGATAGAACACGTGTGGTTCCGCCATCGGCGCGACTACCACCTAGCGGCTTGGGACAAGCCTAGCGATCTCCCTATCGGGGCTGCAGCTGTTTTTACCTTACTTGCTTCATACCTTGGAGGGGGTGTCCCCGGCATGGCTCAAGTCTGGTATATTGGTCCCATTGCTGCAAAGTTTGGGCCCTACGGAGGTGACGTGGGTATTTTCATGAGCTTTGCTATCACTCTCCTGCTTTACCCACCCGCTCGCTATTTGGAGAGGAAGTATACCGGTCGCTAGGAAACGACCGGACTCGCTCTCGCGTAGCACTGGGTACTTCTGCGTTCGGTCTATCATTCCGCCTGGGTTTGTGACACTATCCTCTTCCAGGACCAGCCCCCGAAAGCTCTGCCGCTACGGAGTACAGATCGATAAAATCGGATAGACCCACCAATGTTGAATAATTTGAATTTAGCATCTCCTAATGTAGCAAACTAATCGATTAATTTGAACATACCTAATTATAGGGCGGGTGTTTCGCTTGAGACCTACCGTTGGTTTAATCGAGGACATATCAAGCGTACGGTCAACTAACTAGTTAACTAACTAGATAGTAGTAACTAACGAGGAAGGACTTTGTACTACTAGTACATACCAAGTACCTCACTTTGAAAAATTAAAAAAAAAAAAAAAAAAAAAAAAAAGGAGGGGGGGGGGGGGTGAAGCTATCCAAAACCTCCACGCCAGGAGAGCTCCAGTTACATGGGATTTACCTGTATGCCCGTGCAGGATCAATAGCGAATTTTGCCCTACTCCACTGAGTCCACTCATCCCAGACAGCGACAAATCGCATCATGTCTAGGCGAGCGCACTACGGAGATCTCTCGGAAGGATCAAGTGGAGAGACCACCGATATACCTACCTATCTAGGTACGTAGTACTACTAGTAATTAAGAACAGATGCTAGTTATAAAGTTGACGATTCAAGGTACCAGTAACTCTTGGAACAGCCCAAGATATTCAGTACTAGTCCCTGATGATTCGTTAAATAATTCCGGCAGGACAGCGACCCGCGCAGGTAAATCTTGGTAACTGCGTAATCATGGTTGGCGTTATTCTGGCTGATTAAAAAAAGAAGAAGTTGAAGAAAGTGATCCTTCAAATCATAAAAGGCCTTGAGTGCTAGTTACAGCGCATTAGGTAAACTCATCTTCATGGGTTCATTCCATCCCTATCCCCATCCCGTTCAGTATCTCATACAGCGCCCACGCTCCAGGATCAGGCAACGCCCTGTCCTCTCCAACGTAGGTAGCCCGCCCGAATTTTGGTTTGAGAAATCTTGTCCCTTCTGCCTTTTCCTTGGCTACTTGCAAGGCAGCATGAAAGTCCCCCGTCTGCGTAAAGGTTTCTGTAAACGGTAGTAATACGTCCATTACCGTCCGATCCCCCTCGCGTGCACTTGTATGGGCCTTCAATGCCTCAACGGCCCTCGTCAAAGCAGCCGCAAATGTGGCAGCCGTAGGCGCTTGTGCGGAATCTCGCAGCTCTGATAGGAGAGCAGAAAGCAGGATGCCGAAGATGGCGCCGAGCGTGCCACCCATGTCGTCGATGGCATCGATGGCAGAGAAGAGGAAGGAGATGATCGAGCCACGGTGTTGGATGTCCGAATCGAGTTGACGGAGGATGGCTTCGCAAGCGCCTTTAACGGCTTCTCCACAATCTCCGTCGCCCATTACCATATCCCAGTGGGTTAACTTGGGCTCAGCGTCTATGGCGGCTTCGCATCCCTTGCGAATCATACGGTCAAGAAGGAGTGGATCAACTGAATCCGTTAGCGAGAGATTTCAACCTTGGAGTGAGCATGCACCTTACCTTTCATATCCTCATCATCAGGGATAGTTGACCTCGGCGACACGCCTTCGATTTTCGTACACCCATTCGCTGTCTTGAGCGTAAGTCGTCCAGGTGAAGATTTTGGCCAGGACGGCGCTGTCGTCGGCGCATCAAGGAGATCCAGCAGTTCTGATACCGGGGCATTGATGGTCCTGCTGGCTACAGAAAGATTGCACAAAGACACCGAGAATCCAGGCGCGTTAAGAGAAGTCTCAAACGCACCACTAAATATTCTCACAGGAAGAATACCCCATTTCTCTTCCAGCTGAACGAGGACCTCATCGGTCAACGCACCCAATTCCAGGTTTGATAACCCTCCATAGTTATTGATGAGCAGGACAACCTCATCCTCTTTATTCAGGAAGTCGACAAATGCACGCTCAGCATCGTTGGAATCACAAAGAAGGTCGAGGCACCGGTTTACTACATCTTCAACCGCAGGGAATGGCGAGATCTTCATCTGTGCTGGCTCATTATGGATACCCGCGCCAATTGCACATATATCATCACCGAGACGCTCATGATTTTGGCGTCCAGGTACGTGGCAATGGTCGAGTGCGGAGCCGATGGAGACCAGAGCCGCATTGACAGCCGTACCAAGTTCGACACAGCGCTCAAAGCTGTACCGTTTCCCTGCTGCCGCGCAGACTATTTTCATAGCTGTGATCCTCTAAGCAGCCACGGATGGAAATGGAAGGGAAGAACGAAGCACTCACTGATGACATGTCCCGGCATTCCCCTCCTTCCTACTGTCTCGCACTTGCTTCTGCCGATACTCACATCGTCTGTTCCATACAGAATCGCAATGGGGCCGAGTCCATTTGCCTTGGCCTTCTCAGCAGCAAGTCCAAAATGCAGCTTGTCACCGGTATAGTTTGTGATCAGGAAAATGGTCCCAGCGTTGCTCCTCGTAGCATCCACGGCCGCCAGAACCTGCTTGGTGCTGGGGCTCGCAAAAATGTCCCCACATACTGCAGCAGCCAGGAGACCACTGCCTACGAAGCCGGACCAGCTTGGCTCGTGGCCCGACCCGCCACCTGAGATAACGGAGACGGTCGAGGCATCATGCGACGGGTCATAAATCACACGCTCAGAGGATATCCAGTCCAAATGCGGGTTGGCCCTTACAAGTGCGGAGAGATAGCGGGGTACGAGAGATGTCGCTGAAGCGGAGGGGAAGTAGTGTTTCGAAGACATTTTGCAGAAAGCGAAACTATCTGTGTGACCATAAGCTGTGCCTTCCTATAAGCTGGCGATCTCTGAGACCCGTTTATAAGTTTTCGGTTGAGGCTTGCAAGTCGGAGGGACTCCGGGATTCCATCTGTATAAGCGAGAGCGACTCCGCAGTTGGGAGAAACAAAGAGAAGCGTGCAGATGGCGTCGGGCAGCTCGGGATGACCTTTTTGATCAAGCCGGACGGAAGTCCGCTGGCTTATTTCCCAAAATCCAAGCCACGGATTGGGGTTACTAGTGATCTCCTGGGCTTTTCTATGGCGACATGCATGCTTGGTGATGGTGTGTTGAGGCCTGTATAGAGTTTTGAACTTCTCAGCTCTTTGGGCACAAGTAAGCGCTCAACTTAACCCAAGAAGAGCTTCAATATTAGATTGGTTTATTGACAATCCCTTCGGCGACTCTGTGCTCGTCATCTCGTACAAGAGTCTAACTCCATAACTTCATTATCTCCTGCTCCGTGTGCAGGGGACGAACTGAGCCCTAGTATGTATACTCTACTCCCTATAACCTTGTAAGATTTGGCTGCAATATCTGTCTGGTCTTGGGTTCTTTGATCCGAGAACTATCTCCAGAGATTGCTGATCTGGGAATTCGTCAACGATGGCATTCAGAATTGCCAGAAGCTTGGTGAAGACTAAGTATAGTCTGCGCACTGCTTCATCTTTACCCACATTGTCTTATGCTAGTTATGCTTCCGTACGCCGAAACGAAGGGCCTCGTTGGAATCAGTGGATGTGGGTTGCGCGAACCAATCTCGCGAGATATTCCCATCTAATGGCGTGGGGGGAGGAGGGCAGCGAGGGGGCTCGGGAGCTAAAAGCGCTGCTAAAGCTGCACTGGTTCGATGGCAAAGAGCTTGGCTTCCCAGACCAAGATACTTCAGCAGCAAAGAGGTTTGTCAATTCCAAATTGCATGGTTATGGTGGTGCCCAGGTCTTGAGCTAACCACCGATAGACACTTCCGGGAAATCAGCCAATCCAATGAATATGCGAACAAGCTACACCCCAACGTTTTCCTGGTGATTGACGGGTGGAGCGTTGCCTCCTACGTAGAGCCGGATTTTCACCCCAGCTTTAATCAAAATGCTCCCGGGTGACTTTCAGGGACATGTCATGGCTGTGGACGCTAGCTTTGACCCCGATATTCCGAATGACCGCGCAGAGGAGTCCCCAGGTTTTGACGGCCAGATGTGCATCATGGGAAACTTGATCTGGAGCGAACTGTATCCAATGCTAATGCTGCACTGTACATCTTTGGAGGACTGATGGCCGTAGCAGAAGGTGTACACCGGGCCGATAGTGCCAACCCAACAGGCCATTTGGGCGGAACACAATATAATAAAAGCACAGATGATAGAGTCGTTCCTTGATTATTTGAAGCAGAAAAATCCAGAAATGGCCGAAAAGGCCGAAAAGGCGCAAGAATACATAAAGCAGCACAAGATATAAACAGGAGATACACACAGAACATCGCACAGCAAATCCCACTCCAATACAATGTTAATAGAGTGTATTAATGCTGGAGCCTCATAGTATTCTACTAACAACAGTCTACTCTTTCCGTATTAGAATCACTGCAGTGTTCGCGCCATAGCAATAATATCTATCTCGACTAGCCTCGGCCTTGTATCTTAATTGATAGCCTGGAGGTTGACACTTACTCCCCCGAATAGTATAGCTAGAAGCTTCGTGCTAAAGTTTTCTATAGTATAGGTTTATGCTGAACTATGTATCTTACAGTTATTCTAAGCCCTAGCGGTAGAAAGAGGCGAAGAATCTATCTCTTCACTAATTCAATGTAATTAGATTAGTTTTCAGAACAGAAAACTGGAGAGCTTTCACAGGACAAGCGGTTGGTTCGGAATGACTTTGAAAGTCAGCAGAAGATGAGAGTTTCGATCACAAACTCCTAACTAGCCTAGAAAGTAGAAGTACTATACACCATTATTGCTAATATGCTATTACTCAGTGCAAAGAACATGTTCAATCAACACTACAGCCGTATGCGGTGGCGGTCCGCTGTAGTAAGACAACTGAATGCCCGTTGTGCGATACGCGGAGGGGATGGGGCGAGCATCATTCCTGTGGTACGGTCTTGAGGATGATGCTCACAACAATTATGGCGAGCTTAAGGATGCGTTCCCTTACAAGGACGTTCCACGGACCATAGGTTTTCATGTAAAGAAAGCTGTTTGGACCGATGGCCCGTTTACCAGATACTCGCGAGAGCTGGTGGTATATCGGTCCAAGGTCAGCCACACTTGGTGACGATCTTGTGAGAAAAATAATTCGACTATAATGCCGGGTTAGAACAGGCTAGGGATGCTCTATAATGTTGATCTGGGGAAGTACTTACTGGCCATTCAGGTCTAGAAGACACAACTCCTCCTTTTCCTACAGGAAGTCACGAACTTGGTACCCGGATGCATAGTTTAATGCACATTTGACCACCTCAACTTCCGAGCCATTTCTGCCGCCTCCTGCATGCATATATAGTGCTTGGCTTTTGTTTCAATGATGGCAAGGACATCATTCCCACGAACTGCCCTCGTCCGCGCGGTAAAGTCGGTCTTGGCAAAGATGGCTCGGAAATGGAGGTGGTCAAATGCCTATTGATTGAACTTTGTGTCCGGGTACCAAGCTTGTGACTTCCTGTGGGAAAAGGAGGAGTGCAGTCTGGATAGTAATCTCATCGTGATACACCAAGCCAGGCTTCGAGCTTTCTTTAGAATGCTCGCTCTCGGGGGGCGCGGTGGAGCTGTGTTTTGCGGCCCCTCCAGCGGATCGAGTCGCGCACACGCCGAGGAATCAATTGGCGCTTGGGGGGCTTGTCGACGTGGATGCTGCCCTGTATCTCCCTGGTGGCTCTGAACCCATCCGACCAGTCTGGGTCTTCCCTGAGCAATGTCCCTACCCATGTGCATTCATCCACAACTTTCAGATACTTCTGAAAGTCTGTGGCTTGCTCTACCAGTGCCGCTGCTGACCCCATTCTGTGTCCAGTCCTATAACAGGACGCTCGTCTGCGGGTGGAGGTCCCTGAGCAGGACGTATTGCTTTTGGGTAATTTTTGATCCGGAGCCAGGTAGCCGGGGGCCATATCATGAATTCTGGCATTTTCAAGGCCTGCTGACTGAAGCATCCTCTGTAGTTTGGTTGTCGTAGTCGGGATGTTGAAGTTTGGAATCGCTAATTTCTCGGGGTCGATCTTGAGGTTCTTTTCCTTTCTCGTCTTGTCTGTTTTGGGCGTCTCTCACTGCTTCGGCCGCTGGTTGGATGTCGCCATGTCGCTCAGTGTTTGTATGGAGATGTGAGAATGATCCGCTTGCTTGAGAGTGTTGTTTTGTGGACCAAAATAATACATACTGTATCAGCTAGAAATGGAAAACTCTACAACTTTACGGACCATGAAAACCGCGACGACGCCATTGAAAAATGCCTGAGCTATATGGCAAGCACACCGATCGGAGATACAAGTCTCAGGACAGTTGAAGGATCTCTGGGGAATCTCTTCGCATGCTCTCTGGTTTACGGCTGATTATCCTTGTTGACGATGATGGACATTTATCTGGATTTCTTGATTGGGAGTCTGCAGGCTGGTACCCTGAATCCTGGGAATTCACAACAGCCATGCGGTTCGGTAAAGGTAGTTGGTGGTTTCAAGTGGCCTCTTGGATGGGGGGCGATCAATACATACTCCGAGGAGCTAGCTTCTGATGTTGCCTTGAATTCACTGACGGTCGACTCCTACATAGCTATGTAGATGGAACCCGCTGTATCTAAAAATGATATATCATGCTTGTTGAACCAAAACATTATTCCCCTTTATAGTTAGGGGTCTATCCATGGACCGGAGCAGGTAAATGGGAGTTAGAGTCTAGACTGTCGATGCGGATGGAGTAGGTTGGATCCCGCTACTAGTTTGACCAGCTGCATAAAATTGCAGGAACGAGAACCTGATTCCCAATCAATCTCTCTGGTAGTGTGACATGCAGCCAATGAAGCCACTGCTGATAAGCACAGCTGAAACATAGGTACCTGGATTGAATGTAATATATGGCATCCCTGCAGCGCCTAAGGATCTGGCGCGATTCTTGATTGCACTTGTTGCATTCAACACCACCCACCACTCTGGAGCGTGTCCGGATGCAAAATATTTTAAGTCAAGGCAGTGTCTTCAAAATGCCAGGGGGCCTTTAAGACAGCGCTGTATGTTCCTGGGCTTTTATGCTTGCTGCTCGCGAATTGAATAATTTGACATGTCGAAAATTTTCATTTTACATGCATTTGGCAGCGGGCCCGGGGAACGTGCAATACTTTCCGCACCCCTTTTCGTGGTGGCTCTTGCAGCTTTAGTTAAAGTGACCCCCCGCTTGATCGCTTGATAAGGTTAATTGTGGGCCTTTCCGTTAGTTCCCGCACCTTTTGAGGGTCTTTTTGCCGCCGAGGTTCTTCAGAGGGGAAAGAAGCGAAATGTTTGTGTTCGGGGGATTAGTAACTTTGTACTGCAGGGCTTGGTTTGCCTGGGGACCTCCTATTCTTAGCAAACCCAATGCATTTCTATATCTCTCCTGGAGAATCCACCCTATCAGCTCTAGTCAGCGCTAGAACGCCCCAGCACTATGAGCGCCCAAGACTTTCTTTGTCTGCATCCCACCTGTCGTCGGGGGTGAGGGAAAATCCAGTCTTGCCATTCAAGTTTTCTCCTCTTTTGGCCACTTGATCCCCTCAGAGCTTCTAACACATCTCATCTTCTTTGCGGTAGCTTGTTTCCCGCCATGACGGGTTTCAGAACTCGTCGAGCCCAGTGCTTCCAGCTGAAGTCTGCTGTGCAGGTGGCTGGAGTGTTGATGGGGCTTGTTTGGCTACTCAACCTCTTTGCTAAGTACCGTGCGTCGCATATTGTGATGATAACTATTCCTTGGTGGATATATAAGCTAACCAGCAGAAACCCGATAGCAAATGCCAAGAATAATCAACCTCTACCCACAGTCGGCAAGGTAATGATGATATATGGAGGTAATAATACCCTCTACGAGAGGGCCATCGAGACCCATCAGGAACATAGTCGCCGACTGGGGTATCCGTTGTTCATCTTGCAGCGGGAGATTCTCGACGGCGTATGGAACAAATATGCTATTCTTCTTTCGGTGCTATTGCAAGAACTGGCAAAGCCGTCAGACCAACGACTACAATGGCTATTGTGAGTGTAGCCAGCCCTGCTAGAGATTGTGTTCGCATCAACCTAGCGATGAACTTGTAAACAAGTCTAACCTAAGAACCACTCAACAGTTGGTTCGACAGCGACACAGTAGTCATGAACCCGCACATGAAACTCGAGACCTTCCTACCGCCCGTTGAGGCTGACCACGTCCACCTACTCCTCACCAAAGACTGGAATGGAATGAACAACGGCGTCTTCCCGATTCGTGTGCATCCGTGGTCTGTCCAGCTTCTCTCTGCCGCGCTCGCCTACCCCGTTGTGAAGCCAGAGGTGTTCCTCTTCTGGCCTGACCAGTCAGCACTCGCCAACGTCCTGAACGAGAACGAACACTTCGCCCGGTCAGTGGTGTACTGTCCGCTGCGATGGTTCAATGCCTACATGAGATCACCGGACGGCGAATCACTCAATCCGGACTCGCCCGCAGAACTCCAGTTCCACCCTGGAGACCTCCTTGTTCACTTCCCTGGCACTCCCCGTGATCATCTCGCGGAAACATTAGGCCCATATTTGGCCATCGCGGAGGCGCATCGAGCCGAATGGGAGCCCACAGCAGAGAACACTGGATATCCGGAGGAGACGGTGAATTTCTGGAGGAAGCAGAGTAGTATGCCCTCGAATGTTGACAGTACACATTGGCGGGGTGAAAATTAGCAATCTACGCCGGAGATGATATATATGACATGACATATATGTCACTCTATTACAACTACTACAGGATCAACCTGTTCCTATCAATCGCAAAATATACGTGTATTATAGCGACTATCTATCATCTATGTCTGTTTCAATCTCATTTAATGAATTAACATAAGAGCTGTATATAGCAATAAGAGTATAAAGATATATCCCATAAGAATTATAAGCAGTATATCTATAGCTCCCACCTATAACGACGAGAGTTAATTCTTCACAGTAGAACAGGCTAGCCTGATCGTAAAATTATATCCCTTTTCAGGTTTCGTCTTGTGCTACCTGAGGTTATATAGGCATGGTTTTTGCAGAGACGGGCGGTGGAAGAGGGGTAATATAAATATATCAATCAAATGACTCAGTCGAATCTTTTTTTTTTTTTTTTTTTTTTTCCCTATTTCTTGGTTCACCAAAGAAACAATCGTGCGTTCACAAGAACCAAAACCTGTCCGCATCTCAGTACCGTGGCTTGAACAGAACAGTACGTCTGCATGTTGAAAAAAAAAAAAAACGATACGAGTTAGCTTACCGGGTTTCTGACATAGTGGTGTTTTCCTGAAGATGTGCAAAATGCACGTAACTACCACGCGATATTCCAAATGCCCGCCGTGTTGCATTAAGGTGAGGTACATCCTGGTTACGGGTGGGTGTCCGGTCTATGCGGCAACCGGACGAGAATGCAAAAATCCAAAGGAAGTGAACCTCGGGCAAACGACTACTCGGAGCGAGTGCCCAAACCACAGAGACGAGGGATTCGCGGAGCCTGATACTCGATAAAGTCAAGGTTATATTTCCCTAAACAGGTGGCTGAGCTCTGAACAAAAAGGATGGGCCGCACTATAACCGACACTCTCCTTCAATCGTTAAAAGGCAGTCGTGGATAGCTTCAGCCGAAACCACCACCTGCTGCTGCTGCTGCTGCTGCTGCTGCCAACATCGCATGATAAGAGCTCCGCAGACAAGAGCGGATACATCGGGGAATTGCTGAGCTTCATAAAGTCTCTCGACCTCGTTGCTTGCTACCTCCTCATATGGATAAGAGCCCGTCATTATGAAATAAATCAATGACCCTAGACTGAATAGATCATCACTGAATACTGGCGGAACATCCCAATCGTAACCGGGCTGTCGAAATCTTGTTGCCGGAGTAGCTGATGGATCGGAGCCCCCCAATGAAGCCCCGCCGAAGTCCGCGATCCTTAAATTGAGGTGTAAATCCAAGAGAAAGTTCCTCGGCAAAAGATCACAGTGTACAACGTTAAGACTGTGAAGCATCATGAGTGCTTCCGCAGCCTGTCTCCCCCACCGGAGACGAAGCTGAAGGGTTATATTACCGTGGTTCTGTTGAATGTATTCCTTGAGATTTCCGTTGGCCAAATATTCCATGGTCAGACAGCACGTTGCATCTTCCCAGTGGATTAACTTGGGTACGCGTGGATGTTCCCCAATCATGGAATATATTCGAGCTTCGAGACGCATGTTCCGGCGATGGTCCTGCTCTTCCGGTGGGCAGTATGGATTCGGAATGGGGGTCTTCATGACAGCGCCAGAGGGCAACAGTTCGAGAATTGCTGTCCCCCCCCAGGCTAACACCTTTCCTTTGGTGACATATATGACTTCTCCGTAATTGGGCGGGCGACAGCGACCGTCGGAAACGCAGATGTAAGTAATACTCTGGGGGTATCTAGGCGATTGAACATTCTACCCCAGAATGAAGAAGAAGAAGAAGAACAACACCAACAACAACAACGGTAAGACACGAGTCTATACGAGTTGAGCTAAACTTACATACATCTCCGGGTCCTACTTTGACCAGTCTACCGGTGTGTTCTAGCGCCTCCCTTCGTGATTGTCGCTGCGAGAAATTGCCAGGAACCGGGGAAAATATCCGGAGACTATTGAAAGTCGACAAAAGGAGACCGAAAAGGGTCGACCAAAGCGGCAGGAGAAGAGAACGGATTCCGAACATGATTGAGTAAAGTAAGCGTGAAATACCAAGTCGCAGAGCTGGAGAGATATTTTAAAAAGACATGGATGGATCCGCGGCCCGTAGGCCTGGTGGCGTGTGAAAAGGGTTGAGGTCAGTTCTGTGCTGCTGCTGCTGCTGCTGCCACTCAATTCGAAACTGACAGTCTCAGAAATATGCTTGATGCTGATTGCGGCTAAACTGAGTCTGGCTACGCGGTATACTAGCAAGGAGCTACGAGGCTTGATATGCAAACATCCCTGGCTGAATATGCGAACTGTTGTAAGATCAGGAAAGGCCACGTCAGCCGGAGGGCCTTGGCAGCTGAAGATGATTACCTGGGGATGTCTTAGGTACGGAGTATAACTATCTACGGATTATATGCCATTGCATTAGATCTAGACTAGTCCTTTCTGCACACTAGGTACCTAGAGGCTAGTACGGAGTACAGTGTACACTATAAATACTTGAGCGCGGATCACTCCTGAAAGACGACCCTGATCCATGAACTAAACTTGTAAGAACCAGATAAGTTACTTGAAATAAAGTAACTTCTGGAATAGAATTAAACAGGATTACTATAGGATAGAGTGGTTGGATACCAGGGAACAATAACCCTAACGTCTCGAGATGATTCCCGCATCCCTCCTTGATGTAAAGTGTCAAACCAGCAGAATCACTATGTCTCAATGTATTGATCTCTTTATCTACCAAAACAAGTATACTATACTTACAGTATAAGCAAGTGTGGAGGTGAGTGGGTCCGCAGTGACTCTAACCCGGCAATAACCCTTCATCTAGCTGGTGACAGGGGAAAAGTTTCATCTTACGGCTGGCAGGAACAGAGTATATAGCAGGGCTCCGAAGTTGTAGAGGAGATATCCAAGATATCCTGCCAACAGACCCTATCAACTTTGATCCCTTAGGGTTGACTGGATCACACCCTAGAAGTCCTTACGCGCCAGTTCTCTGGAAATAGTCTCACTTCCTTTGTTAATTTTTTAGGTCCAAGTTAAACATGTCTATCATTATCTTAAACCGACACAGACGACGTTTATGATAGGATCATTGTCAATGATGATCTCGAAACGGCATATAAAGAGCTAGAGGAGTTCGTGTACCGACCCGCATCTGCTTGATGCCAGCCGTACTGGTAGTGGCGGCGGCTATATCGTGGATTCATGCAGCCGCAGCTTAGGACCTAAACTTAGAAGCCTAATGTGTGATGCACAAGATAACTCACTGGAAAGAGAAAGAAATGTGTTGGAAGCGACACTCGACAAAAGCACAGCTTTTGATCCCACAATAGTCAAGAAGATCTTGAACGCATAGGGGAGAACATGTTCTAGATAGCATGAGTGTTCAAATTTCCAGTTATCCATTTAGTATGTAATGGGGCAATTAGATCCACTTTTCTTTTTCGCTAGAATTGTTGCCGTAGTCAATTAACTAGAGTTACAACTCGTGCCCTTGAATACAGGAACAACACTCCAGCCCATTTATGGTATCAAGCTAACTGGCGCCAATTAAGTAAATGCCATCCGCGTGTTCGCATTCATTCATGCATCAGTTACTAAGGAAGTAAGTCGCAGCAACAATCTTGCCCAAGCCCGTATCCGTCTCGAACTTATCCAGGTCAAATCTCATCCGATTCAAAATACTAAAGGACCTGCCCCATTTGTTGATGTCGAATCCAGGGCCCTGCTCATAAAGAATGAACAGGTATCGATGAGGTGAACTCCCCGGCGGAGGACCGGCGCCCATATAATTCGCAAGAGCTGGGATGTTGTCCGCGTGCTTCATCTCCCCGTCCACAGTCGCAGTAAGACCTGTCCGGAGCCAGTGCAGAGCAGCGCCGAGGACACTCCAGGAGGGGAAAGGGGGATCAATATCAACACAGACAACGGCATAAGTCACAGTGCTGGAAGAGTTTGGGAAACAGATTTTGGGAGCATTTTGAGTATCTGCATATAATATATATATATATATATATATATTGTTAGTTTGTGCCGTTTACAAAGTAAAATGATTCCCTCACATACGTTTTCTCGGGAGGTATTCCCCCTTGGTAAGCTCTTTTCCATCGACTATCATGCGGAGCACCTTGGACGGATCATTCTCGGTCAATAAGAGGGCCTCTTCGATCGACCTACTTGGCCGCATTCTGTGCAACGCTTGATTTGTTAGGGGGAAGGGGATTGTAGTAGATTCTGGGAGGTGAGGTTTGGCAAGAAGGAAAGGACAAGTAATGAAAGATGTTTTATCTCCATCTGCCATTTGAAGTCGTTTTGGGGGGGGGGGGTTATTGCCGCTACCGAGCCGGTAACGGGAAAGGGCCATTTTATACATATGGTCGTCATCACAGCCTCGCAGAGCCCATGCCGTTAGGAAGGGATTACTGTACTTCAAGGTCTTGATTGCTGATATATCCTGTATTGTAACCCTAATAATACCGTCGAGACGGTCTATTTCTATTATGATGATATTTGGCTGCGCTGCTTACCTATATAGTTCTACTTTCCTTCATTTTAAGCACATACGACCATAGGAAGTGGAAAACAGGGCTTCCCGTCCACTCAGCCGTACTTAAGCCCATTATATTATGCGGCCAATTCTCAATGCGCCCTTAGCTCTAAAATGGCGTTGGTTTTGAACTTAGGGTGAGTGTGGGTGATTTGGGTGAGAAGTTTGGAGACCGGGGTGATAGAGGTGAGAACGGGGTGAGAGTGGGTGAGAACAGGGTGAGAGTGGGTGAGGATAGGGCGAGGATGCTCACCCAGATCACCCACTCTCCCACTTTCACTTGAGTCCGGGCCATAAATATGCGCCCCAGGGCAGCATGTCTGGTCTGCTGTTCTTCTTCTCTTAACACTCGACCATTCGAAAGAAGATGCTCCCAAAGGACTTCCAGAAGAAACTTGATGAAAGAATTACACGTGCTTCATCATGTGGTTTCACCTATGAATACATACCTGCTTTAGGTATGCCACATATTCTTCATGATCACACATTCTTCGCAATTTTTTTAATATTTAAAGCTATATAATAATAATAATACTAGTAATTAAAATAAAAAAACTCTCTAGCTTTTTTAATATATCTTATATTATTAATTCCTATTTAAATTAACTTCTATAAATATAAAGAAAGTAAAGAATTATATACTTTCTTTTTTTACTTTATTAACTTTTTTTACTTATATTTAGTATTCTTTATCTTCTTATCTTTAATTAATTAAATAGTATCATGAATTTTTAGAACCTTATTACTAGATAGACTTTTAATCTAATATTTAGTATAAATCTAGTATTAAGGCTCTTATATAATCCTAATCTTTTAAATTACTTCCTAGATTATTTTTAGCTCTTCTAGCTTCTCTACTTAATATTAAAAAAATTTTAATATATTTTACTTTATTTAGTTAAATACCTTATTAAATTCCTTTATAATTTTTACTTAATTCTTTAGAAGAGCCTTTATTATTACTAGAGAACTATTTTTAATACTAGAGAATAATAATAGTAGTAGAGATAAAGTTTAATAAAGATTAATTAATATATCTAGTATATTTATCTAATTTACTAGTTTTTTAATAATTTTAGTATTATTAACTAGCTAGATATTATATTTTTTAAAGATATCTTAAATAATTTACTATAAAAAGATCTAATTATAGATTAACTAAATAATCTTTAAGAACTCTACTTTTTTATATAGCTTACTGTCATGGCATAGCTGTGTACCTATCTTGCTAAGATTCTGCTTGGACTGTCCGCCTCTACTCATATATTTAAATCATGTTATTCCTGATCCTGATTATAGCTCTTCAAGCTATATCCTTATCCTAATCTAATCCCTACCTATTAGACCTATATATAGATAGCCTGAATATATACCTTATTATTAGCTATACTTATTACTTATCTATTTATTATAATATTATATAGCTCTATCTCTAGATATAGCTATTATTAGTATATTAAAATAATCTAAATTATTCCTAATTATAGATTTAATTAAGGAGTTTATAAATTATATTACTAATAATCTTATTATCTAGATTATTTATTTTAGATTTTATAATAAATATACTAATTTTCTAGAAAAGGAGATATATACTCTCTAAAACTAAGCTAATAAAGCTAGTCTAGAGCTAGCTAAGAAGAAGAGGGTAGTATATAAAATTAATATAAAATAATTATATATAAGTAGGAGACTTAAAAATATCTATTATAAGATATAAAGATATTAGTATATAAGTTATAACTTAAAGAAATAATAGTATAAAATATAGCTATATAATTCTTAAGAATATAGCTTACTATAAAAAAATAATATATAATTTAATATTATTTATATTACTAAATTAAATAGGTATTTATTTTAAAAATAATCCTAATTTTAACTTACTTTATATCTCTAAAGATATAATAGTAGCCTATCTTAATAAAAAATATAGCTAATTTATAATAGAATATAATAATAAACTATATAATATAATAGACTAGGTAATATTCTAAATTATTACTAATATTAGAGATATAAAATAATAATATTTATACCTTAAATATCCAGGACTACAAGTATTAGATTATCTAGTTAAGAATACTAAGGGGGTAAGGATTAAAAAACCTATTATAGTAGAATATAATGCCTGTAGTATAGCTAAAATAAAGTAAAGAATTAACTAAAAGAACTATATTATTATAAAAGAACTAGGTCTATAGTTAGTAATTAACTTTTATAACTTTAAAATAGGGATAGATAATTATTAAGCCCTACTATTAGTTATAAATAGGTAGTTAGATTTTATATAGAATTATTACCTCCTAGACTAATATATAGAGATAATTAAAAATATCTTACTTAATTTATTTACCCTTCTAGAGAGGTAATATAATATTAAATCTTGAGTAATTAAGTTAGATAGTAAGATAAAGGGATAATTAAAAAACTTTATATAATTTAAAGGAGTAAGACTTGATTACTCTACTCTATATATACTAGCCTAAAATAGAGATATAGAATACTTAAGGGGTATAATAAAAGAAAAAATATATATAATAAAATAGAGAATAAAATTACTTGTCATGGCGACCACGTGACATGCAACCACATGCCGAACCACATGCCGAACCACATACCCAGTAATTAAGAGTAATTAGGAGAATAGTAATATTTAAGTTACTTGTACTATACTAGTAACTTAACTAGATAATATAAATAATAATATAATAATTCTTAAAATATTAAGAGGTAAGTACTTTATTTTATTACTTTTAATACCTTTTTACTACCCTTATACTTTATATAGCTTTATTTTCTTTATTAATATTACTTATACCTAAATACCTTACTAGTAAAATACTTATAATTTAAAGTATTTCTTTAATTAAGTAAAGTAATATAATAAGTATAAGAAGGATTACTTATTTCTTTTTCTAAGAAATAGTAGATTTAAATTCTATAAAATTTATAATTATAGTTCTAGAAATTATTATTAAAAAAGATTTAATAATACTAGTAACTCTCTAGTACTAACTTATTAAGTTAATAAAAAATAATAAATTATAATATATAGCTTAATATATAGTATAAGCTATATAAATAAGTAAAGAAAAGATACCTAAATTTAAGTTCTTTAAAATATAAAATTTAAAGAAATTTAATATCTTTTTAAAAGATCTTTAAAATTACTTTAGGTTATAGGAGAAACTTTATAAGAGTAATATAATTAAAATTTATTATATTATAGATTACTTAAAAAATAATATAAAGTAAGTATAATACTTTAAATATAAAGTAAATTTTAAAGAATTTATTTATATAAAGTTTATTAAATTCTTATAAAATTTCTTAGAACTAGAAAAAAATTATAAATAAATAATAGCTTACTAACTTTTATATATAAGATAAGGACTATAATAAAGTATATAAATCTTAATAATCTAGATAGAGGAATTTATCTTAATAATTAAAGCTAATCTTAAAAAATTTCTCTACTAGCTAGCTATTTAAATAGCCTAGCCTAAATTATATAAGGAAATCTAGCAGGATATAATAATATTATAAAGTCTAGCTAAAATTACTAAATTAAGGATAAGATATAAAAAATTTTAGAAATAAAAAAAATAGAAAAGATTAAATAAAATATAATTAAATTAATTTCTAGAATCTTATATATTAAAGAATAATTTAAGAAAAAGAAAAAAAAATAATAATAAAATAATAAATTTTTAACTAAATAAATTTTAGTAAAAAAAGTTAAAGAAAAAGTAATAGAATTATTAAAATTAATAAAAGAAAGGCTAATATTACTAGTATAATTAAATTAATTATATTATAAGAAAATATTCTTAATATAAAGAAGGTATTAAGGGGGTAGGAAAATTAAAAAATTAAGATTAATAATAATTAAATACTTTAGAATTCCTAATACTCTAATAAAATAAAGAAGTACTAGTAGGATTTTTTCTAGCTATTATAGCTATTTTAGTAAATAAGAAATAGATTATAATAAGAATATTTATAAATACTAGAATAAATAAGAATTTTATTTTTTATTATTTCTTAATTAAAGAAGAAATAAACTTTAATAAAATAAAAATAAAATAATTTATATATTTTATTAATAATTTAATAATATTATACTATATAAGATTTTAAATAAAAAATTAAATTATAAATAGTCTTAATAAAATTAAAAAATTTAATATAGAATATTATATAATAAATTTAAAAAAAAAAGAATATTAATTAATTTTAGAGTATAATTAATTAAATCTAGTTAATTTTAATATTTTCTTAGTAGTAAATACCTAGTACTACTAAGAAAAAAAATTAAAAATTAAAATTAAATTACTTAAGTAATTTAAGAGTATAATAAGATAAGGACTTATTATATTAATCTTAAGCTAATTATATAATAATAATAATATAATAAAGGCTCTCCCTAAATATTATAAAGAATAAAAATTAATATTCTTAAAAAAAAAGATAAAAGTACTTCTCTTTAAAAAAATTAATTATAATATATTATTAATTACTAGTATAATATTATTAATAGGCTAGCTATATAATATATTAAAAATAAAGTTAGTAATTTTAAGGAAGTATATTAATTAAATATTAGAAAAAGAATAAATCTAGCTTTTAATAAGTATAATAGGCATGCTAGTACTTTTTATATAAAAGGCTAATAAATTATTATAGTTCTATATAGATTATAGGGGCCTAAATATAATTATTATTAAGAATTAATATTCCCTCCTATAAATTAATAAATTAATAAATTAATTAGTTAAAGCTAAATAATTTATTAAACTAGATTTATAAGATATTTATTATTAGATTTATATTTATTAAGATAATAAATAAAAAATAATATTTTATATAAAATATAAATATTATAAATATCTAATTATATTTTTTAAATTATATAATATTCTAGCTACCTTTTAAGTATATATTAATAAAGTAATAAAGAGAATTCTAGATAAATTTTATATAATATATTTAAATAATATCTTAATCTACTTATAAATAAAGAAAGAATATAAATATTATATTAGTAAAATATTATTATATTTTTAGAAATATAATCTTTATATAAAATTTTTAAAATATAACTTTTATTAGAAAGAAGTATATTTCTTTAACTTTATTATAGGAATTAAAGAAATTTAAATAAATCTTAAGTAAGTATATATTATAGGTAACTAGCTAGAATTATATTTATTCTATAATATTTAAGTATTTCTAGAATTTATAGAATATTTTTAAAAATTTATTTACTAGTATTTTAAAATTACTACCTTATTAAATAATATATTAAAAAAGATAGTAAAGGGGAGAAAGAATAGCTTCTTTAAAATAATAAAGAATAGTTAAAGTATCTTTAAAGTATTAAAGCAAGTATTCTCTAGATCTCTAGTACTATAGTATTTTAACTTAGAATAAAAGATACTTTTAATAATTAATATATTAAATTTTATAATTATAGAAATTTTAA